TGTCTCCGGTTTGCCTGTTTGCGCAAGTTGGAGCCGGTAGAAGAACTCTTCCTGGATACACAGGCCTCCTCCTACCCATGGCCAGCTCACGGTGCGACTCAACAGTCACTTCCGGTTCAACATACGCTAAATGGGTCGAGAACAGTAGGGGCGTTTTTCCATGAATTTCGAAACGCTCCTCACTAAAAAAGGAATGGAATCGCTAAATAAGCTTGTAACACCCAATTTGCTGTGTTGTTATTTGTTTTGATATTTACCTTGTATTTTGTATGTCAGTTTTGTCCACCAATATGTTTGGTACTCTTATACCGTTCAATAAAGAAATAGTCTCACGATCACAGTGTGCGTGAGTGATGTGTTGCTCCGATTGACATTTCTCTTTGAGGAGCCTGCGCAGCTCTAATTCGGTTACACGGTTGATATTTAATCTCCGTTACGTCCGCAGACGTGATGCCTGGATACCTGACGTCACGGCGACCCGGTTTGTTTGTCCCGTCCGGTTGTCGTTCCGCCATGTTGGAGTATTTATAATCCGCAGCGCAAACATCATCAATAATACAAAAAACCTGTAAGGGCTGTAAGTGTAATATTGTGTCTACTTGCAACGAGCTTAAGCGTAAGACAACAAGGTTTATAGTCTCATGCCCCATTACTTTAATTTTCTTTGAACTGCCGACCAAACATAAGCTAAGGTTAGAGAGCTAGTACAGGGTTATTTCTAACGATTTTAGATGCTCTCGAATGGAACGATGTATACTGAAAGGTAGTGAATGCTACCTAAAACGCAAGACCGTTTTCAAAAGCTATCCAGTTACCTGAGTAACTGTTACATAGGTATTCTTTACACTTGTTTTGAACTTCCCTGTGCCACGCCTCGCGGTTCTCAGTCCTACCATATGGTGGCCTCCTCGCCTGGTACAGACGAACTAACGGAAACAAAACGTAGCGCTCAGATATGGAGACCGACCTTGTCCCAACTAACCATCAGAACTTCCCGATTGTCGAAGGTTAACCTCGAAGATGATCACCTTGGAGCCAACATTCTTCTTCTGGTGTGGCATATCTTTTAAGAATGTCTATTGACACCGTCCTCATTCTTCGTATGCATATCATGTTTTTACATAACAGGCTTTTTAAAACAGTAGCCACAATCTCCCCCGAGCTGTCACAATCTAGAAGACCTCCAGAATTATATTTCTACTGAAACCACTTATCATGAAAAACAAGGGACTATTCATTATCCATTGCCTCCAAAGAAGATGTGACCCCCACCCCAAGTAATGTATGTAGAAACATCAGATGGATCTATAGAATAGATATTTTTGTAAACCCTTTGACGTTATTGTGTACGAGTGTTCCTTTCAATTAGCCTTCGGCATAAGTTTACAATATTTTATATGTTTAATGGGACCAGAGCAAACACAAAGTACGTCAGAAAAAAAACACAACGTTGTATCTGTGCTTAAAACCGAACCAGGATCAGACAAGGTTTCGGATAGTCCACGCGCATCCAGAACACGTGTCTGCGGCAAATCTACCTTCTTGGATACGCGGAGAGTATCCAGAACCGTGCCTGATCCTAACCCTTCCCCATTCAGGCATAGAACTAGATAGGCACGGTTCTGGATACAGTATATGAGACCACCCCCACTCATATTTCCGCAAACGCACAAAGTAACTTTGCGGTGGAGATAGGCCGCGGTACAAGGCCAATGTCGCGCCGGCTAATCTCACTTGACCCTGGTGAAAGATAAAGGACGACCCCTTTTCATGATCACTGTCAATGTCAGAAGCAAGTAGTGTCACCGTGAACATATTAGATTGTAGACTGTAATGTCAACACAGATTCCCGCAGTACAAAATGTAAGGTTTGTCTGTGAACAATTTTTGGGAATGGCAAGTTGAACGTTCTTCACTTGTATTCACAACCGCCTGTTTAACGCATTGCTAGCAGTAACGCCTAGTTTCAATGCACTGTCAACTAAGCTCTCTGATAGCGACAGATTGTGTAACACAGGCTAACCAAAAATTGATAATCATATCCTTTCACAATTTGATATCTGCTTTGCTTTAATGACATTTATTTGGGTATAAAAAAACTCTTCTTGTATTATACCCAGGTCTCATCTAAATGTCGCTGTCAGCTTACATTTCTACTGGAGTCAGGTTGCAGAGTTGGAGTGCTTCTAAAATAGATCGAGCGTAGGCTCACTACAATTGATCACGTAAGGTTTAAGTGAGGTTATGTGGAGTAGACAACGCTAATTCTATTCTGTGTACAGCCGAAATAAAACTGATTGTCTTCAATCGGACACACGAGTCACATCTCTACATGGTATGCATGTTAAAGGCACACAAAGCGATTTCAGAGCAATCAAACTTGATTTTCAAAGTCAATATTTGCTGGTCATTCTTTGTAGTAAGTTCGATCAACCCATCACATAGCATACTGATATCTGTGAGGCCGATGTGGCTGGCGGAAAACTGTTTCTTGTTCCGTAGCATAGGCTGGTTACTGGCGGTAAAAGGATTACAAAAAATAAAAGAATTCCGCACGTAGCTTGGTTTGCAAACGCTTCAAGTATGAAATGATGACAAAAAATGCTACAAAATGGCAGTTAATGTCAATATCAGACAGATTTCCTTGTTCAGAATATTTTTTCTTTCGGTGAAGGTTAGACATCTAGGTAATAAGATACGCCAAAATATAGTTACTCAAGCAACGGGATATGATTTTGGAACCGGTCAGACGTTTCAGGTAGCATCCACTACCTTTCATCAGTGACACTGTGTCATTCTGTGACACCCTGAAATTGCATTGGACGCCTTCAATACATCTTTGCAAAATCTCTCTCTACAGGCAGTTTTCCGAGAATCCTTTTATCGTCTCTCATTTTACCGACGGGCGGGAGCGTTGCATAAATGATATTTTGACAGCTGCTACGAACACTGCACAGGATGCAGACACCTCTGCTATAGGAACACTGCATGTCAAATCATCTACATGCCTTCAGTCAGTAGAGGAACAAAACCACAAGTATATATTGGGACAATGCAATTGCAAACCATGCTACAACATGCCTCTGTTATATAGCGAAAAAGCATCTATTGCAATCTGCATTGTGCATTTTATTTGCATGGTTTACTTTGTATATCTAGAATAGGTCCAAAAGACCAAGACAATGCAAGAATTTCAATTATGAATGAATAACCTGCATTCCAAAAATCACAATATCATCTATTTTTCGTCGTTATGTAATGGCTCTATCAAGTGCATACACATCATCCGATTTCCCAGAAAACGATGTTGTCTGCCGAATCAACTTCGCTGCTGGAGGAAAGGCTTCAGAAGTGTAAATGTCCCGTGTTACAACTGTCACCGACGTACAATTTATTACTTGACGCACGGATTAAGTCAGTTTAAAGGTGGCAATTTCGGCGGGCGCGATTTTGGCCGAGGGGTCTTGAGTGCCACATAACATTGATTACTGTCCTTTGATGCTTCTCCGTGCAGGAACTGTTACGTGGCGGAAAGCGGCGCGGCTGGTGTCGGACCTGTTAGTGCGCGCCACGGGGCTTTTATCGTCAGACTGGCAACGTTTCTACCAGCGAGGGTTTTCAAGGACAGTGAATGTATCGTCTCCGAGCAGGGGTTTAGACTTCGGCTTATTGTTTTTCACTTGTCTTGAGGCGTTTTTATCGGGCTTTCTTTTTTGTGCGGGTATCTTTTTTGCCAGTTAAACGGAGGCGTATTGGATCATATTGCTATGCCAATTTGATACTGTCTTGCAGCCACCATGGAGTTAGAAGGAGAGCAGCCACCAAAAGATCTGCTTGGAGATTACAGTGAATGGGAGGTGCAGTGGGATGCAGCAAAGACAGCAAGCGCTAAGCAGATACTAGACATTGAGGCGGAATTGAAAAATCAACGTTTTCTGGCCTTGTTGTCCCGGTGTTTTTCCTTAACAAGAAACCATGATGAAAACATTTTTATCAACAACCAACTGACAGAAAATGTTTTGATTTTCCATTTGAGAAATTGCTTGGAGATTAGTGTAGATAAGCTACTGACTCGCGTACCGTTTGCTTTTGTAACGGTCGTATCAGAAGAGGGCCAGATACAAATGAATGTTTGCAAAAAATAATACAAATCTACAGAACGTTCGCTTATACATGTAAGTAAGTGATCATTAATCCACAGATTATACACGTGTCTCTTTTAGGTCTCTATATCTACTGTTCATAATTTCCCCCCTGACATCATTATCAAGGCCTGATCGTGAAATAAGAGCCGCGTGTCTTTGCAACGTGCGATAAATTGAAAATCGCCTTGAAACTGAAAGGCCAGTACAAGTGGCTGACTTCCACTTAGCTATCTCCGCAAGTCCGCTTTGGAAAAACACTTCATAAGGGAGAGTAAAACGGACAGCAGATATCCGTCTTTGAGCGTGTTTCTCTCTGATTTTATACATCGGCAATGAGAAAAAAAAGAAAATCTCCATCCTTATCTTTGGATGAATTTTCAGAAGAAAAAGATAAATGCTGCAAAATGCGATATCGGCATTGAAACAAAATACCGGCATGAGCCAAGGCAACAGCGAGTGATATATGGGGCCACGAGTGCTGTTTAAACATGTGGGTTGTACCCGTGCGAAATTAATCTATACCCGGAGATCTCAAATTTTCTGACGGTAGATGGCAGACGCTTTATTTGCAGTGCAAGTCAAACGGTCAGATCTCTTTGCATAGCCGAGTCGTTGACAGAATATTTAACTATAAAGAAATACATCATTAGGTGGCCAGTCTGACTCATGTGATAGTGGGTCGTTTATCTTACTTCACACACTTTTTATAACAATATGGCAGGAATGAAATACTCAAAAGAATATTACCTAAACTCCAACACACACTTACGTAAGCCTATACAAGTGGTTTGAATCATTTTAGGGTTGCAGGACAATTCTCCAAGCAGCAAAACGAGAAGAAAGCAGCAGGTTTACCTGTCCCAAGTTGACGAAGTCATGGTCCAGGGCCAACAGATCGGCTACGTCGGGCCCTCCGTGGATTTCCACCGCCCAGGTGTTGGTGTAGTGGCCGGTTTGGTCCTCTCCCTCCTCCGCAAGTCCGTAGGAGGAGCACGCCACGATCAGAAGGACCAGCCAGGCAGAGAAACGTCCCATGTTCCGCGCCAGATGGAGAGAAAAAGTCGTCCCGGCTTTCTTTCTGTTGACTGCTCAAACTGAAGGCGCTAGCAGTCGGAAACGTGAAAATCAGATAAAGTCCTCATGTAGAATATAAGTAAAGCAGTTTGCACGGGTCCGTGAGAAACTATGTGTAACTAGCAGCTGTACTGTTCCCCTGCGGTTGGTGTTTGCCTTACAGTATTGCCTAACTCGGACGGAACGATCGCACGCTGTCGCGCTTATCTTTACATTGGAGGCACGGCCCCATAGACCAGTCATTTAATTGCCTGATAGGCTTCCGAGCGTCCTTCCCACAGGGCCCCGTAACTCCGGTGACGTAGGAGGCGGCTCAGGGGCTTTTGTCAATGTTTTACGTCGCCGTCATTTGCTGTGGCAAGCGGAGGCTACAACATCTGCCGTGTATAAGGCGGAGCTGTGGGTTCTCCCACTCTCGCTAGGCTTATAAGGCGACGGAAGTATATGTTATGCAGAAAACTATCAAACCGGACGTATATACACAAAGCACGTGCGTAATTCGTGATACCAAAGTTATCAATGTTATTAATAATTGCCTGAAGGTTGACAAACTGGATTCCATTATTTCTTATTACTAATGGTAACGGCTTTAGTAATTTACTTGTGTTTACCCTGTTTGCATTACCTTGTGTTTATCATTTACGTATGTTAACTTATGTTTAAATTCCTTGATCTGTACGTGGTATTTCTTGGTATTTCATACGTTTTTTCCAATAAGTCATTCTGCCCAACATCATATTTCTTGCTCCGTATTAATGTTTGCGTGAATGGCATTCACTACTGTTTAGACTATACACATGTAGACTTGTGTTTGTGTCAGAAATTAAAACAGGATGTTTCCCTAACATTGGCCTGCTACCGGTGCCTGCAGAACAAATAATGAATATTTGCCCTTCAAATATAGGAACAGTATCTACTTAATATGGTAGCAGGTGAGGACGAACACACCCACTCGTACAACTTCACAGGTTGGCATTATTTTTACCTACGCGGGGAAGTAATAATGAATTCGGTCGTGTTCATGTGTTCACAGCTAACTCATGGTGGGTTTGACGGATTTCTTACATGTAGACTTTCGGTATATGATCGGTTTTTGGGTTCCTTTTTTTTTCTTTGTACTTGCAATTGTATTTTTAGGAATTAAAATAAAATAATTTGACACCCCCGTGCAATATATGGTTACTGTTAACATAGCTGTTATTGTGATGTTTGAAATTGTCAGCAGGTGTTGTGAACATTATGTACTATATACTTCCCGGAAGTTTGGAGCTTCCCTCAGATTTCTAGTTTTCTCTCTCGTTTCTGGACATCAAATGAATACGCCTACGTTTGTTTTGCATAACCGGTACACCGCCTTCAGGAATAACAGCAGTTTTGCACATTAGGTAATGGTATAAGCTATGTTGGACGACCGGACTTTTAGCTTTAGCCCATTCTCACCGGGATGAAAAACCCTAGTGTAGCACTCTTTTCGATAGGTATGAAGTGGTAACGATGATATCCATGTATTGATGATACAGATTTTGCATAACGGTTTGATGATACAGATTTTGCATAACGGTTTGATGATACAGATTTTGCATAACGGGTAAACCGCCTTTAGGAGTAGCACACTAGTTCTGTGTAATATATACAGTAGTAGGTACTGCAAAAGACCGGACTGTAAGGTTTTATCCACTCCATGCCCGTAGCCAGGGGGGGTTCGGAAGAACCCCCCCCCCCACAAGCCTCAAAGGTCCACTATTTGGGCCACTTTTTATGTAAAGGTCCACTTTTTGGTCCACATTTTATGTAAAGGTCCTCTTTTTGGTCCACATTTTATGTAAAGGTCCAAGATTTTTCTTTAAAAGATGGACTGGAATCGTAGAAAAACTGCTCCCTTTGTCATTGAATAAAAATCTATCTCTGATTTTTTCTTGGAAATCCTCTCAAAAATGCACGAAATGCCATTTTAGAAAGTTCATTTTTCAAAATTTCCCGGGGGAGCATGCCCCCGGACCCCCCTAGGAACCTCGCGCCTTCGGCGCTCGCCTCACGCCTACGGCGCTCGAGGTCCACTCTAGCAGTCGGAAGAACCCCCCCATTCAAAATCCTGGCTACGGGCATGCACTCACACCAGGATGGACGTCTACTGGCCTACTCTTGACTTTTCAATAAGTATTCTCGGGGCCCATAACGTATGATACGATGATACAGATTTTGGTTATGGAAACGACTTGAGGAAGTGACTCAGGAAGCGACGTGACGTGTCTGACGGTGGAAGTACGCACGTCGCGCGGTCTCGCTTCTGATGTGATATTCAGATGTGCCCGCCCGGCTAAACGTATTTGCACCTATGTGATGAAACTAATCTGGGACAATGCGTTACGCACTTTGATGTGTAAGTCATTGAGCAGGCCAGTGGTAGTTTCGGCCTTCGGTCTGGGAATGAAATTAAACAGAATCATCGAACCCGGCTCAATGAGCCTGTATGTACTGTAAGCCTCTGTCACACATTTGGCCTACCGAACACTGCCGAACTCTACCCCCACCCCCACCACCTCCGCCACCCCAACATGGTTAAGAGTAGGTCGGGAACGTTAACAAGATCGCCAGCCGAATGTTACAAAAATGTTTCAAACGTTCCCGTGTGGACGGGAGGTTCGGCCATGGTTGGCTGGTGTTCGGGAGCTAGGCCAGCAATGTTTAGAGTGTATGGGCGTACATTTGCTCAAATTCGATTCGATTCGTATTGAAAGGTAGGCGTGGTGTAAATCCGGTCACACTGCTCCCGAACTGCAGCCGATCCTGGTTGGCTGATGTTCGGGGCTAGGTCTGGGGAAGTCGAAGGTCTTGAATGTGTGACAGGGGGCTGTTCATGGCTGTCTTCTCTGTTACGACTAGTGGATCATGGCAGAAAAGCTTAACTCTTCTTTGAGTTCATTGACCTAAATTGGTTCGAGGGCCGTCCATTCCATTCCTTTCCTTTTTTTTTTACTTTCATCTTCAATTGGTAATTGCGACCAGTTCCATAACCGAAGGCGTTTTGATGGGTTCCAAATGATTCAAAGATACTTTGATATTTGGTAAGTCCGTTAGATGACATAACACATGAAGATTAGACATCCAGATATTGAGATACACAAGGAAATTGGTACTTAAGAAACGTTTCAAGCAGCCTCAACTACTTTTCGTCAGTCGTTTATCCAATCCTTTGAGTAACTAAGTGTATTTGCGTGTGAATTTCTCACGTTCATAAAATGTCTTTCCTACCAATATCCAATATAGATCCTATATATCCTATAGCCCATGTAAATGTACTTTTTGAAGACAATGTTTTTCTTTGTAGATATAGAAAGATTATATCATCATATAGATCTCTTGTCACGTATGGGGCCTTTCTTGAGCAACAAGAGTCGGTAGGATCCGTCTGAAGCGGACCAACTGACGTGACCGGACGGCGCGTGACGTAACAGGACGTGACACGCACGACGTCGCTGCGTGACCAGTGGAAACGCCCTGTACGAGTACCTGTACCTGACAACACAAAGGAACGTAACGACGTGGGGTCGTGTGGCGTAGCGGCAGAGCGCGCGACTCGGAACCGAGAGGTCCCGGTTTCGAGTCCTGACATGCCACCAAGGCACTTTACACGACTTTCCTCACTTCGCTCAGGTGAAAATGAGTATTGTATTGTCATGTATTTGTTAGCCTGTGTTGGTGGCGGCATTAATATAAGTTGAAAAAAACTTGAGTGTGCCGTCACTACGTCTGATGATTACATGTTGGAAAAAAAAAACGTAACGACGTCCTGGTCCGACGGGAAACCATCATCGGCCTCCTACCGTCTGGGTAGACAGTTTCGGTTTATTCATTTTACCAGAAGGTGACACTCAGGTCACTTGACCTGTTTTTAGGTAGTTCTGGGACAGTAAAACTATACAATCAATACAGAAAATAATACACAATACTTACAATACATGTATAAAATTTAAAATTCAATCATATAACATTACGCTCTTATGCAATTTATTACACTTTAATGTTTGCCTGTGGAATATCCAGCATGTGACGATCCAAGACGATGGGTCTGTTACGGTGGCCTCGATCAACTTAACAACACCCTCTACCAGGCTTCCGCTAGCCTCTATCAGGCTTTAGCTAGCCTCTAAAAGGCTTTGGAAGCAACTTGAAAGAGGAAAGACAAGAAATTGACCAAAGAACATACCAGCCACCACAGACGATAGCAGAAGCTAGCCTCTACCTGGCTGGAAAGAGTAGAAAATGGTGAAATAGACAGATAACATGCCAGGGCAGTTAGTCCGCTAAAGGGTCTTCGGAGGGCAAACTGTACTTACTCCCCTGGCATATCATCCGTCTATTCGGCCAATTTCCACCTACTTCTAAAGTCCTGGTAGAGGCTAGCTTCTGGCATCGTCCTTCAATTGGTTGCTGAACTAGCCAATTCTTGAGCGGCAGACTCTTCCACATGTTGTTCAAACGAATGTAGTGGTGTTGACAATGACAGTAGACGTGTACAATCTACGTATACTTCTTACACTATCTTTCCAGTAGAGGCTGCGACTGCTGAGCAGGCGGATATTTGATGTCAGATCACTCAACGAATTTCATATTAGACTGATCTTTATTGATTAAGCTCAGTGTGTTTGTTTGTCTTTTAAATTATACTTTTATCCCGTGTATCATTTTCCAATTATGAAATCAGGGGTCACACAAATCCACTTTTGATCGCTCAACGGTCGCCCAGCGATCGCCTGCTGAATCACGTGTAAAATCATGAGTGGTGTCGTGTGGTGTAACGGCAGAGTGCTCGACTTGGAACCAAGAGGTTTGGCACTTTACACGACTTTCTCACTTAAGTGAAAATGAGTATATTGTGCTGTCCTGTATTTGTTTCTATGTGTGGGACACAACATCAGCAATAGCTGTCTGTTTCTCCAGTGTATTGTATTGTTACAATTTCAATAAATCAAATCAAATCAAACCGTTATGATCCCCTGATTGCGTTTTAATCTATAAAATCATCCCAGAAAATACGTGGGTCGGCTCTTGCGTCAATGGCTCCAATCGTCCCAGCAAGGGGCTTTTAGGATTTTTTTATTTCGCGGTAAGATGTCGATTGAGCGCACTGTGGGGTGTGTAGCTTATATAACGACCCACTCGGTCCAGATTCGCAGAGCTAATCTTAGTGTTAGGACAGGTTAAGAGTCGTGACCCTTACCAATCGTCTATACAGGAAAATCACAATACTCGTTGAGTATCACATGCCTGTACAAGAGTGCAAGAGAAATTTATGCCTGGGTCAGTCTTTGCGTCAAAAAGAACAAAACAAAAACTACGTAAAGCGACTGTGAATAGTCACAACTCAACAACTATAAGTAACCATTCATGTCGTACATCTCCAAAGAGAAAAAAAGTCACATGGTTTGCGCCCATGTGCAGGCGTAGGCGACGTCATGACCCACTTGGCGAAGTTAACCCGCAGTCCTCTCCAGACTGGGATCCGGACATACGAGTCGTTCGTCACATGTTACTCTGTAAGGGTGTGGTCAGGGTTACCGTAGTTCATCCTAGGTCGTCGTACGATTTATCAAGCAGGCTGTGACAGAGCCAACCGCCGACAGAGATCCAAGACAGGCTTTTCTGTAACAAGCTAGCTAAATTTTTTTTCGACACGTCATGGTCGACCATCCAAAGAATGCCCCCAGTTTCCGATCACACGACGTATGTGATCAGTAGTTTCAGCTCAAACTTCCGTTTGCGCGGGGTTAGGTTAAGTGTGGAATTTCTGAGGAAACCTTACTGCAAAACTACAAGAGGAATGGAGGTCCCGTGTTTGGGTAGATCCACGCCCCACGCACGTTAAAGAACCCACCACACCTTTCAACTTAAAGAGTAGGGGTATGTCTATGTCTCGGTGTGCGGTAGTCCAAATCCTACTGCCTGGAGTTGGTGATTCACTACAAACCGTCACATTGTAGCAGATTCATTGACAGGTAGATGTTTGCTACCTAAAACCGAAGAGGAAGAAGGTCCAAGTTCCCCCCATTGTTGCGCAACGAAAAGGAAAACATCTTCATGTATTTCTGTCCCTACATTGCTTCTAGGCAATTAGCCTGCGTGTCTCGAAACATGCACCGGCCACCCGTGTGGCTTGTTAAGATCACTGTTCCCACCGCCTCCGGATCCAGTCTGAAAGCCCTCGAGCTCGTGCGTCAGTCCGCACAGAAACGGTGGGCTCCTGAATGGGTCCACAGCCTCGTGAGGACTACTCTCGAGTTCGGGAAGAAGAAAAGGTAATAGAAACACTACAGTATCTGAAAGCGACGGGCGCACTTCTGAAGCCCAGCGAAAATTCGGAACCTTTTGAAACGACAGAGTTATTCAGCGTCATCCAAAATAACGAGTTCCGTAGGGTTCCCGAGTGTGAATGATCCGCAGGATCTATCCGTTGTGCTTTTCGTAAACACGAGCCAGAACTACGCAAGTTGATCGCACTTGAAAGAGTTGACCTGACTTTAGTGCTCATGTTAAGGTCACGTGTCAAAACCGGGGCCCGGTCGGGCTTCTTGTAATAACGAAAAAGAATTCGGAGATCTCATACCTCCATGAAATGTTGGGAACTTGTGCAATCCCCTCCTTTTGCAATCTCCGTATTTATCATGCAAGGGGAAAACACCAGCTGTCAAGGAGACCATGTAGTGAAAACAGCATGAAAACACCGGTATGATCAATGACTTTCTCCCTCTGTGGCAGCCTGAACATACATAATACATACACACACACGGACACACACACTGACACACGGACACACACAGACACATGCAGACATAGATACAGAGATAGAGAGACAGGGCGAGACCAAAAACAACACCTCCATTTTTCATGGAAGTAAAAATAAACAATACATATCAAGAATATGCACATATAATGCTCATGATTAGTTCTTTCAATTTTTTTGTGTTTGTTTTTGTCTTTTATATCATTATTTTCATATTACTACAAGAGCACCATCCATACTTAGACAATAGGCCTGTCCTTTAATTTTAATTGTGCTGAATATCATCCATACTTAGACAATAGGCCTGTCCTTGGTGCTGAATACCATCCATACTTAGACAATAGGCCTGTCCTTGGTGCTGAACACCATCCATACTTGGACAATGTGCCTGTCCTTGGTGCTGAACACCATCCATACTTGGACAACATGACTATCCTTGGTGCTGAACACCATCCATCCATTCATTTTATTCATTCATGTTATTTTACCAGAGTAATACGCTCAGGTGTACTAACCTGGTTTTCAGGTAAACACACACAGGCAAACAGGTCTGTCCGGCTTGTTTTTGTCTTTTATATCATTTTTTTCGTGCCTGCAAGCCACCTGGTCGGCCATGTGTTGAAGATTAGTTATTATGAACAAAGATAGGCCTTTCAAACAGACTGAACATCAACGAGCTTCATTTGTTCTCTGCTGTCTCAAACCAAATCATTAGCGGTCGCTGCACCTGCCAATCAGCCGCATTATATGATTATTCTAGTTAAAAAAGCAGGTTTTTACCTTTGTATCAGTGTGAACAATATGAGCGAGTTGTACCATTTCTGCCCTACATTAGGCCACACCAATTTAATTTGTTGGTTCTCGGATTCGCCTCTTCATTTTTTCTGATTTGCAAAAAAAAAAAATTCTGGTTCTGAATCAACTAAAAAAATGCTCATATTTTGCCTCCAACAGTTGAGGAAAGTCCTTTTCCTTCTAGTTCTTACAGTTCCTCCATCTATCAATGTAGTGGTTTGATTAAAAGTTCAAAATTCATTGTTTAAATTTTAACACAGCCTTTTGTGTTGACTTCATGGCTCCTATTGTAGCATTTGGGGCTATAATAGGATGCCTAGACCTGTTTTTTTTTCGCCCTGTCGCTTCATATTTTTTCTGAACAAATCCGAGAACCAACAAATTAAATTGGTGTGGCCTTATAACGCCTCGTCCTTAAGTTGCCACAGGTGGCCATAAGGGGTATAAAATGGCGATGCTGGATTAGCCCGTTAAGAGCCATGTGGGACCGGGAACCGCACTCAGGCAACCAATCCAAAACACAAGGCTTGGTCGTACAGATATGTGGTATCAGTTGTTTTTCGCTCACACCTGGAATTTGCTTTGTAATGGAAGCACCACCGTTACCTGGATAGTAATGAAGCTAGGTATAGTCGCATCCTGTGAGGTGGGTGGTAGAAACCTTGCCACGTAGATAGATAAATGTAAAATTGTTCTTTATGTTTTTTTACCTTGTTCAACCTAAAAAAAAACACAAGGTGCTGAGAAGTATGTGTTTGTAAGTTAGCCTGGTTACCAAACCTATTATAGCTAACGAGTTCCAAATATATTTTAGGAGAGGATGTAGGACTCTGGAGCTATAATAGATTTAGTAACCAGACTATTTATAAGTCCCCTGTAATGTTTTAATGCCTATCACACTTTATTACAAGGGCAATGTCCTTGGTGCTAAACACCATCCACTAACGGCCCTTAGTGCTGAACATCATTGCACAGCAAACATGCCTATCATTGGTACTGAACACCATCCACACACAGCTCAACATGTCCTTTTGCTGAACATCATCCACACACATGTACAGGCAAACATGCCTGGCCTTGGTGCTGAACAGCATGCACACTTGAATGAAATGAATACTATTGACAAAAAGTACAAAAGTATTAACAACACTACAAGAAGTCTGTATAACTGTGGATATTAAGCATGTGAGTTCTTGTGGCTTAGTATTCAGGACTGGCTTTAAAACATGGTTTCCAAGAATTTCAGCTAAGCAGGACAGATATTAGTAGCCATGTAACCATGTGTGCGTAATAAACTATTTACCTTTACTCATCATCTAACACTTAGCCGAATTTTAGGGACAATATTGGATAGATTCTAATATATAAGGAGCCATTTAAACCAAAAAGATGAATGTAAAGTTGTGATTTATTCCCAGTCATACATAGTGCAGTACATGTACCCTTGTTCCAAACTACACTGTATTGTCATTCATAGTCAGAGAAAATCTGGTGAAGGTTCTTCATATACTGCTACATTATTACCTCTACTTCCAAAACATAAGTTACATAACCCATCCATGATTTTGGAATGTTACATTTTTCATCCATTGGCAAATACCAGTTGCAAATTACAACATTTAGAAACTACAAACTACAATTATGTGAATTTGTTTGAGTAGGCAAATATAACAGACAAAGCTAAATAAACATTTTTCATCGGAACTACAGCAGTAGTTTAGACTGAATATCGAACTCTGGGTGGACAGATACAACCTAGTCTAAGAGTGTGCCCATTGAATAGATAAATGTTTGGGGTTGACTTTTGTTTTTTGTGTCTTTATGTCTGCTCAGATCAGGCTGGTGCATACTGCTTCATCAGTCTCTCAAATTCATTCTCCTGCAAGTTGAGAACAAATTTCTCATGAGTGAATTTCTGTACACAAGTAGTGCTAGTATTACAACAGTGAAGTCAAAATATTGAAAGATGTAAAATGTTTTCAAAGTAACATAAACTCTCATAATTCTGCCAGGTACCCATGAATGCCACACTATAAGAAAATAGTGAATGAACCAAGTGTTCAAGATACTAAACCTTGGTTAGAACTTGGCCAGTCAATAGTTAAGAGTATGTTATAAAACTATTACCTTAGCTGTGAACTCCTTCACAAATGGGTGATTCTGATGAGATGTCTTCAGCTGGGAGAGGTATCTGTTGCTGATCTGGAGACATTTGGGAAAAAACAAACAAAAAGTCTAAATACAGGTTTAAAGTTAAGAATAAGATGCAATACAAAGTGCATCAATACCTTTGAATCATCTAGATTATATTTCTAAATAGTTCATAATCTAGGTTTTACATTTGAGTTTACTTTTCAAAGGTGAAGGTGACAGTGTTTGTGAACAGTTTCATCAGGTCTGTCACTTAACAAAGAGACTATTTTTACACAACACAATCGTCTTAAAAATACCATACTATGTGTGCGGTAAACTGTTAAGGGGCTTTGGCCATGCTTACCTCTGGGGCCTTGCCTAGATGCTGTGACAGGACGATCATGTTGATGAGAGTCTCTGGGTTGTTACTGTCCTGTAAGAATAGATGTGTAAAGGTTAGGTGTAGCTGCCACTGCGCCGCGTGCCTGCGAAGCTGGTGTGTTACACTGAAGTGTGGATATGCCAGCTATACAGATACAGATACAGAAGCTGGTGTGTTATGCTGAAGGGTGGTTATACCGGCTATACAAATACAGATACAGAAGCTGGTGTGTTATCCTGAAGGGCAAGTCCAATTTCTTGTGCTGGAAATTACAGTTTAATCTTGCTTCGTTGAGATAGAAAGCACAATGTTAAAGCCTTATCCATGGCCACCTGATTACAGTATGGCCAGTGAGGGATTCTCCTGAATCAACCACACACACACAAACCTTGTCCATAGCCTCCTGCAGAATGCCCTCGGCGTCCTCGTACTTGCCCTGGTGGATACAGCATGCGGCCTGGCCGTTCAGCAGGAGAGGGGAGGAGCTGTTCTTGTCGATCATCTCCTGGAAGATGTAGAACGCATCCTGCAGCTTCTCACCACCCTGCAAGGTGAAGATACGAAGATATTGAAGTCATTGAAAGGAGGCTTGTAATTTGTCACTATGATTACAGAAGAAAAAAAAATTAGTGAATTTATCTTCAGTTGCTTCAAAGAGTAAAGAAATCTTCAAGATAGATTGTATAGAATGTAGTACATAGTATAAAATAAGAGATAATGAAATATCTCATGACTACCCGAAGATGTACATATATAAATCACCTTCCTGTATATATAATAACAGGTGTACTCACCACTCCCATGTTAAACCAGGCCAGCGCCATCTGGGTCAGAGTCGCATCGTCATCTTTCTCCTGCATCAGTTTTAGTTCCTTCCTACAGAAACAGGCATCTTATTTTAGTTATTTTGAAGACAACAAGGTATTACATGTACTAGGAAAAAACAGGGTCAATGAATATTCCCCAATACTTTAGATTCAAGTTTATGTTTCAAAGAAAAATAAAAACGACATCACTAGGAAAAAAGTAGTAGGAAAAAATAGGATCAATGTCAGATAAATGTAGCTTCCTCAATATTTTGTTAGATTTAAAATCCTTCCCACACCATAGAGTGTATAGGGCAGCACCCATCTCTGTTTCCTTAGTCCTTGTGCCATACAGCTGTGCTATCACATGTATCAAACACTACAGCAATGTAGCAATAAATGTAGAAAGACTTTATACTTTGCCAAGTCCACTCTGTCCATCTTCAGGTAAATTTGGACCGTCAATGCTGAGCTGAAATAACAAGTGCAGACTTCTGTTACTATCCAAGCATGGAGAAATCTCTTATGTGAACATTTAGCAAGTATTTATTGATGTCAGACAGTTATTGTTAAATATTTAGCATTGTTTGGAAATCATCTTCGAATGCAATTGTTTTTTAGAATCTTTACTTACAAAATGATGACAACTGTTGAGGTGTAATCATTTATATACACTGATACTTTTGTAAACAATTCAGCCCTCCAATACGGCTGACACGAGGCATGCATACCTTTTTGCTTATAAGAAATATTAAACCAGTCTGAAAAAATCTTCTGTGGTCATTACCATGGGTTTTGCCTTCTTGGTGCAACATGCCACATTTTCGAACAATCACTTAAGCCATCCTGAAATCTCAGGATACACAATACAGTACTCCACATTGCCTGCAGTTATCTAACGAGGATACCAATTATAAATGGGAGTGACTTCCAACTCTGAGGAGAACAAATTTTAACAGAAGTTTTTTATTCACTACCACTTGTTTAACAAAAGCCGTCGTTTTGATGAACATCTGTCATCTTCGTCAAGGCAATTAATTACTAGTATGACTGATTCACTGTGCACTAAAGCTAGGTGTTACTGGTAACAATGTTGTTCCCAAATAAGTAATTGAGGCGATTGAACCAGTCATAATTGCCCTGATGAAGATGACTGACGTCATGGGCACATCTGCTCTTGTTATTAAAAAAAAAGTGGGTGTGAATAAAGAACTTTCCTATTCAATCATTTTCCAACTGGATGGAATTATGAACATTAATTTCAAAAGACTTTTTTTTAAATTTGTAACAGGCGGTTGTAGTCCCTCCCTCGAGCGGGGCCGGCCACCTGTTCGAACACGACGCAGACACGTGTGCTTGCACGTGTTGGAACAGGTGGCCGGCCCTGCTCGAGGGAGGGAGTAATGTAACGGATGGTCCTAGTCCCTCCCTCGAGTGGGGCCTGGCCACCTGTTTGAACACATGCAAGCGCACGTGCCTGCATCGTGTTCGAACAGGATTTTATACCCATACCGTTTGAGGGAAGGGGCTCAAGAACTGGACAACTGGACAGGGATTGAATAAAGGAGTTGAGGTGAAGTCTACACTGAGAGTGGTGATGCTTTTGTAACATATTCTTAAGTACAATTATAGAACAGTACCATTCTAGGGAGTCTGACTGGTGTAGGCATCTTAGTGCTGCGTCATAGTTCTGGGAAAAGAGAGAAAAGAAATGTTAGAATAGGCAATAATACAAAAAAATGCAATAACCTGCATATGCAACTGGTACAGTATATTAAGCCCTGATGTATATACTAGTAATGAAACAGTCAGTCTGTTAGTTTATTACACATGACTGATAGCTCACATCTTCGTGCAGGTAGATGGAGGAGGCCATGAGGAGGAAAGTGTTGTTCCCCACATCCAGACTGGAACTCATCTGTCCCTCCAGCTCCTTCAGCACTGCATCCCTGGGGAGGTGCAGTACAGGTTAGAATACACAGGGGGAGCTCACGACTACAGTACCACCAATGGATATACCGTAACCTTTATAGTTTTAAACCATTGTCTGGTCCACATGTACAGTGTGTACTGTATGGCATGCAGCACAAGTCTGCAAGGCCTTAGAGTTACTGTTGCAGAACATATTCAAATATAAACGTGTCAATAATAATACTCATCTAGAGTAGAGAAGGGCATTAATCTACTGTACTTGTACTTGAGTAGGTCTCCTCATCAATCTAACACAGTAACACACTTGTAAAAAAGTTCTTTGTATACTGTCAGAAGACCAAGAAGTATATATATGTAACAGGAGATTCCTAATGCTTATGCCAAATTTTCAAAAGTACATGTATGTTGTATTTTAATTTACAACTTAATACATATACATGTATACTACAAGGCTGGGATTCTGGAAAGACCTCTATACCTAAGGGAAATGAACATTCAAATCAAAATTATAGAAGTAGAGAAGAGAAAGTTTTTTTTTAAGTGTGTACCTTCTCTGTTCACTGGACAGGTAGTCAGCGTACAGTCTGACAGCCTGCAGCTCGGAGGCCGACACTCCAGACACCTCATCCAGCACAACTCCATACTTCTTCTGTCAGGTTTAAACAAAATACAATCAAAAAAGACTCAGAACTAACTGACACGACCATTCAGGGGCCAATCAAATCTGGTCTATGAAATGTCATCCTTGAATACGAGGATAAGAACTTAAACAAGACATTCTGACAATACGTTAATTACGGGTTTCGCGCAAATTGACTATACAGAGACACTACGAGTATGTATTACCTGTGCGATGTAGGCACGGTACATGAAGACATCCCTCTCTGTCTTCACATCGGGTGAGGAAGGCTGTGGAAGATTTTAAGAGTGTTACTAGTAAACATATGACCCTCTAGTGCCAAAATTATGGCAACACAAGATCAAAACAGGTGACGTATAAAACTAGAAAACATATATAAAAGTTACTTTAGTTAGGTTAGGCCTAATTGGTTGTAAGTACAATTTTAGATTTGTTTTGTATAAACTTCTATTTTGTACAAAAATGTAGCTTGGAGTTGAATAATTTGACCTAAGTAAGAAAGTAAGAAGCACCAGTAACCCTCTCATATCAGTCTAAACGTTAGAGTTTTTCACTACTACATGTCTGATCACCAGAACAGACACATTAATTCAACTGTGCTCGCTCAGGCACGTAAAGAAGATCTCACGAAAGACAAGTACGTTTGATATCGACACGTCACCGATGTTTCCATCATCATTTTTGTTGGGAGGGGGGCAGGTGTACTTTCCGCTCGCGTTTACGTCAAATCTGGGTAATCAAGCCAGCTAAAAATCACGTTTTCGGATACTATGTACAGCCTTACCTTCAGTTTCTGTGCCTCGTTGATACATTGTTGGTAATTTCCCAAGTAAAAGGCGTTTTTGATGTCGAAAAGTTCGTCCACGTCGCCTTGGGCTGCCATCTTGTTGCAGTAATACCGACGCTCGGCGGTGATTGGACGATCCTGCGAATCATTATTCATGCACGAATGTCATTGGCTGTGAAAGCAGCTTTCGGGGAAATTTGGCGCAAGTGGGACCTCTAGCGGAAAAAGTAGGTAGTACAGCTTTCCTTTCGTCTGGTGGATGGGCATGTTTCACGACAGGTATTGTCACCGATTTTACGTGTGTCAAAACTTTTAAACTGTATTGCATGCTTGCCGAATGCCTGAAGGGAATGTTACCAACTATGAGGTCAAACATATGCACCCCAGAACAGACTGTCATGACTACTCTACTCATTACCTGGTATTGAATTCCTAGGTTTTTAGCAGGACACCTACAAATGTAAGATATATAACGTTATATATATAAAGGCTTGAAATTCCTAGGAGGTTACCCACTAACCAAGGAGGTCTCAATCAGCTAGGTTGATTAAGTTAAACCTTTTGCGCTTACATGACACACAACGTTAGTTCACGCACCCACCCACATGTGCATGCATGCAAATACATACGTGCACACAAGCATAAATAAGTAACTCACATATACACACGCACTCTTGCACAAAACAATGATTATTTAGAAACGGAAACATTTTCTGTAACAGGCATTGGATGTATTTATTCCTATGATTGCAATATACTGGGGCTAGGATTATTAAATCACTAACAATTGCATCTCAGAATATGGGGTTGATGCCTATTATTGCCATTATGAATTTATAATACATGTAATAAGTATACATGAAAGTTTTCTATCACATGGAAGCAAGCTTAAAGTTATAAAGGTAAGTTTGATGTTCATTAATTATATTGATCTTTTCATAATACCTGAGTTTCATAATTATTTGATAGTCTTACTCTTAGTATAACTATAAGCAAGAAGGTTAAATGCCTCCTTGCTATATTAAAAGCATCAGAAAACTTAAGTTACAAAGTATAAGTTATGGCATAAAGGTCACAACCTTGAAGTCATTGGCAAACTATCTATAATAATGTCCTACGTTACATACTGATCTTATACAGCAGTAAATAAATATTCTTTCATTTGTTGTATGTACAAACATTGCCCACACAAAATTTTGGCATCATTCAGGTGTCAAAAGTACTGCAGATAGTTAACTTTTATGAAAATAACTCTTTCTTCACCAACATGTACAATGTACAAGATTGTTCCTGATTATATAAAACAATGATTATATAAAGTGCTAATCTTAGCTTATAACCTTTTGGAGTCCAAGTTCTCTGCAGCAAACAGCTGCAGTTTGGCACTGTTAGACTTGAAGTTATATAAATCAACTTTATCAACATCATCTATGTATATGCACACATTTGGCCCAGTCTGTACATTTGGCGGCAAGTACAATAACTCCTTCCCTGTATTTCTCCCCCTTCCTTTGTCATGGTTTCCATGGTTACTGTTTCCATGGTTACTTTTTCCATGGTTACTGTTTCCATGGTTACTAGCAGCTGTACCATGGTTACCGACGTCCCACCCCGATCTCCCAGGCATGGGGAGATAAACCTGGTGTCCCTTTACTGCATACTTCCGGCAAGATGTCAAGAAGTCTCGTGAAAACTGCACATCTGTGTTGGCGAGAAAAACTATTGAGTCACTCTTCTCCCTCAAAAGTTCCAGCCCCTTTCGGTGTCCCCTTCGGATTGAGAACGCTTCATCTAGAATTGCAGACCTGATCTGACCCCGGGGAAAATGTCTTTGGTAGAAGTCTACCACAGCTTTGGCGTCAAGCACGTTCCCATCATGCTCTTCTTCACCCTTCCCAGCATCCTCCCCTGCACCTCCCGTACAGATGACGAGGATGAGGCTCTCCCTGTGCGGCGGACGCGAGCTGAGCACAACCTCCTCGTACCGCCGCAAAAATTGTTGCAAACCGGGATCTCTCTGTCGCACCGGCACGACGATATACACATGCGGCGACGACTTATTAGGTGGCAAGTGCTCGGCATGACCTGTGACCTTTGCGGGAAGCAGCGGACGCGTTACCCTGTTGCGTACGGTGACCTGGTCTCCGTGGGGATCGCGGAAGGCAAGGTCAATGACGTATTCGGTTCCGAAGTTGAGATGAAGTCGGCGATACCCACCGATAAGGTGGCTGACCTTTGACCCTTCAGGCAGCTGGTCTGTGGCAGTGGCAATGGCTGACTCCAGAACCTGTGAAGATAACAGAAAAGAAAAAAGGTAAACCTTTGTCTTTGACTCTTTGCTTCCATTACATTTACTTTTTGATACACGTACAAGCTGTGTGTAAAGGTGCACCTGGCTGACTCTAGAACCAGAGGAAAGTACAGGACAGAAAATATATCTTGACTTTATCCAAGGCTAGATACTAGATCTGAGTTTGAGTTTCCACCATGAATGAATGACTTTTATATAGAAAGTTTTGATTCTGCAGTCTTGACCTAATTGTTCAAGATATGTGCTTACAATCAGAATTTGTTTCCAATGGGTCAGTCTGTAGACACCCCGAAGTTGTGTGTGAAGGTGCTCAAACACTACTACTCACCTCCCTGAGGTCCTGTTGCCATGGCAACCCCATCTCCTGGGCCACGCCCTCAGGTGAGAACACATGGGTCGCATCAAACGACACCCAGGGGAGGCTGTCCTCCCCCTTTGTGGGGAGGGGCTGCTCTTCCGGGGGACTGTTCTGGTCTGAGGAAGGTACAGGCTTGTGGAGGGAGGGGGGCAGGATGTTGTTGATGGAGTGAAGGGCTTCCTGGAGGTCCACAATTTCCTATGGGAAAGATGAGATGTAGTATGTCAATCTCCAAGCAGATTCCAGTAACATTATGTACACATCTGGATGGCTTGTGTTAGTTTAGGCTCTGTCCTTGGTGCTGAATCAAGTATCGCATGGACTTCTTCATTTCTCTTTGACAGTTCAGTCTAGCAGACTATCTTCATGCCTCTGGTGACTTCTTGTGTGGCTTCATATTAAGTGAATTATAATCCAATACATGAACAGTAGCTCAACTCAAATTAAGAGGAATAGTCTCTAGCCATACCAATTTAGCTTGCTATTGCTTGCAATAAAAAGTTATAAATCAAGAAAATACACCCTTTGGTTGGGTTACCCCAACAGGCTTAATACTGCATGCAGTAAAAATCATGAAGATTGTTTGGAAAAAAACTCACCTGTTCAGTGGTGTTCATGGCAGCAGTGGTGAAGTGCCTGTGTACTTGGTACATGACGTGGGGGTCCTTCATGTGGTGCAAGGTCAGGGATTTCACCAGGTGCCTGTTTTTCTGCAGGTTTCCTGTGAATGGCCTGTCCTCACTGAACTCTTCCTCATAGGCGTGGTAGAACAGCTCAGACAGCTGGAAAATGAGAAATGAACCTAAAGGTTTGTACACTGCATGGGCTTCTTATTAGTACAGGGCACAACCAAACATGATAAACAGACACAGTTGACAAAGTACTGATTAACAATTTAACTTCTCGCTTTTCATTTATGGTAGAGATAAAAGAACGGTCATGTTTTTGATGAAAGGTTTGTGTACTGTAGTTGAATATGAATTTTTCCACAGTGATAAGTGTATGAAGAGGATTCCAGATTCTCCCCTAGGGGAAATAGGAATTCCAATCTCCCCTAGGAGGATTCCAGATTCCCCTGGATTCCAATCTCCCCTGCCTGTCACATATACATCATTCATTATTATCTGCCCCATACATACCTCCCAAGCCCTTGTACACTGTATGTGTAGATGGTTGGTGACACAGCGCCCAATCTCCACATCCTCTTCAGCAGACATCACCTCCTCCATACAGGTCTCCAGGTGGGGACACAGAGCTGTAAGGTGAAAAGGTAAAGGTAAGTCCTATAGCTTTTTTAACCAGAGGCCAGGGATAGTGGGTTGTTAGCCCGCTGTGTCTAGGGCAAAGGTATTGGAAGGCGGAGCCCATTCTACTCCTTCCACTGCCTTTTACCTCCAGAACTGAAGTCAGGTACCCATCATTCAACTGGGTAAAATGAGGAAAGTTGTGTAAAGTGCCTACCCAAGGACAAAAGACATGGTAGGAGTTGAACTGAGGATATGTAGGTTCTGGGCCAAACACCCTGCTATTAAATTACATGACCCCACTCAAGTACATATCAGACATACTATAAACCTACTAAATAGACCTACTATAAACTAAACCTTTGCTGATCTCATGTACTTTGTATTTTGACAAATTAGTTTATTGGTATGCAACCATACCATTGTTCAACAGTTTTATGATTTTATGGTACTATGATCCTGCACAGAAATAAAAGCACTAGTTTCTGAACAGTTTTTGAAGTGCTCCAACAACCATACTTTGTAAGTTGTGAGTGGTACAAGTCAAACTTGTGTGGTGCAGATAAAATTCTCTACATCACAGCACAAGTGCAGATATGCAGAAAAAAGCATTTTGAACCAATTATATATATATATTTGATATAGTGGTACTGGTATGCACATGTACTCACCCTGTATAGCAGCTCTGCTGAACATGACACCTGGTCCTCCCATGCAGAAGTTTCTCCCGTTCAGCCCCAGCTTATGTCGGACTGCAGGGAAACCATAGCCTGGCTGTCCCATGTACACCTGTGCAGGTGAGAAAACACACCTGTAAGTTACTGCAGGGAACCCGTAGCCAGACTGTCCCATGTACACCTGTACATGTAAGAAAACACACCTGTAAGTTACTGCGGGGAACCCATAGCCTGGCTGTCCCATGTACACCTGTACAGGCAGGTGGGAAAACACACCTGTAAGTTACTGCAGGGAACCCATAGCCTGGCTGTCCCATGTACACCTGTACAGATGAGAAAACACACCTGTAAGTTACTGCAGGGAACCCGTAGCTTGGCTGTCCCATGTACACCTGTACATGCAGGTGAGAGAACACACCTGTAAGTTACTGCAGGGAACCCGTTGCCAGGCTGTCCCATGTACACCTGTGCAGGCAGGTGAGGAAACACACCTGTAAGTTACTGCAGGGAACCCGTAGCTTGGCTGTCCCATGTACACCTGTACAGGCAGGTGGGAAAACACACCTGTAAGTTACTGCAGGGAACCCGTTGCCAGGCTGTCCCATGTACACCTGTGCAGGCAGGTGAGAAAACACACCTGTAAGTTACTGCAGGGAACCCGTAGCCTGGCTGTCCCATGTACACCTGTACAGGCAGGTGAGAAAACACACCTGTCGGTAATCTCTCTGGCTGTTTTTGGAACACTGAATGGGTTCTGTCTACAAAACATGTGAAAGGCCTTTTGATGATGATCACATCTTTTTTTGTTAACCAAATGATAACACAGAACAATCTGAAAACTCAACAATTCAACAATTTTAGTAAAACGTTAAACTTTATTCCAACACACTATTTACAGGGATCAAATTTTCAGCGACCACTGTCGCCTTCATCAGGATAATTAATGACCAATCACTTCAAAACGTGATCTCGCGAGAGTTACGGTTTACAAACACGTGACCTTATTCACACGAGACTTTACTGATACGTGACGTAAGCAATTGATCAAAAGTGCCAGGGAGTTTATATCGTCCACCATCTCTATTAAGTGAAGGCTGAAGTGCTCTGATATATATAGCCTCCTTAATGCCAACAATTTATTGATTCATCTTGCAATTTTATCTGTATCATAGGTTTTTCCTGTGATAACTACGAGAGTTGAACAGTACACAATAAGGATTCCAGAAAGACTTTTGAATTGTATTAGACTTTGTAAATCTGACAATATTGTCTGAAAATTTGTAACAATTGCAGCAGCTGTTTTTATTGAGACAAAGAAATTGAACTGTCATTTCTTGTTGCGTCATACAGTAGCTCAATTCTAGTCAGTCAACAACTTGTGTGCTGGAAAAACTGCCCTTCTGAATGTAGCTCTTGTGTTGTACAGAGGTTTGTTGTGTAAAAGGGCTGTGGTAAACAATTAGCAGCCCACCTGTCCAAACAGGTAAACAGAGTGTTACAAAAGACTGATTACTGATCAGGACAATCCACAGGTACATGCAAGGCTAGCACCCAAGCATCTTACATGCAGAGATCTGAGGTTTCTTTGTGTCATCTGTAGTGAAAAATGGCCATTGCTATACATGTAACATTTGAGCAAGTTGGTAACTACAGTTGACAATTTTTTTTTATAGAACTGTAAAAAAACAACAGCAGATTGGAATCCGATACAGTTTTCTACCCACAACATCTGCTTGGAGATTAGACATTATGGGCAAAGTCACCTGTACCCACTAATGCAAGAAAAGCAGGAAGTATTGTAGAGACTACAAAAACAACTTTAAGTCTTCAACAAATCTGTGTACAACAACATGCAGGCCAAGTTTGCAAGGTGGTAGCTCCACTGTTTGAACGTTCAATCAGCTTTTCAAATGCAAAAGAGCCATGATTGAAATTTCCTGTTCTTTGAATAAAGAGTGTACACGAATACTAACAACATTCCATTGACTTGAACCCTTTCTCTCCTTTGTTTTGGAGTATTACGTAAGAAAGGCTGAGTGCACCACCTCTTCAAGGGACCTTAACCCAACAAAAACAGAACACCCACTGATACCTGCACTAATTGGAGCCCACTCTACCATGTCCACTTCTCCGTAATCATACACTTTCCTCTTTGTTATGGCTCAGTCTGAAGTTGCCATTCCTTCCACTTAAGGGTGAAAAGGCCTGAGAACTCAAACAGGTGGAAATGTCTTGGGCACTGGAGCCAAAGACTTGTGGGGCCTGGTTGGCCCAAACTGTACTATAACAGCTTTTGTCACAGTAGAGTTAAAGACTTTGAAGTATGAAACTAATTTTTGAACAAACAAATGAAGGAGGGAAAACACACACCAGATCTGAGAACTGTTTGCTACTTGAATTTCCTGCTGTCTTTGTTTCCTCATATTTCAAACCTTGTCAAAAAGCTTAGTGGACTGGTATGAGAGCTAGCTGTTTTTGCTGGTGGTGAATTATAGTATTAGTAGTACAAAATGTAGTAGTAGTAGACTAATAAAAGCATGCTATGAACACTAAAATGTTAATAGCATAAAACAAATGTTCCTGGGGTAAAAAGGATACTGGCATACCTCTCAATTTTTTTTTAGTCTTGTCAATAGTATTCGATTTAACACAGAACATACAGTAATTGTAATGAACAGTCATATAACTTGGGAATGGGACTTGGCAACGCAAGGCAACAATGTCCATAGGATAGATTCCTTTGATAATAGAGAGACGGACAAGATTTTATTGGTTTCGTCACTGGTCTTCTTTGACAGTTTTGACTGCTGTCTTTTTTCACCAGGAATCTCTGCATTCTCTTAACGTGGAATGACACTCCACAGGACTATAGATGTTCCATCTAAAAGTGTGGAATCATTAACTTAAATTAAATGTACAATTGTCCAGTGTGTCAATCGTCATTTTACTCTACCTTTTTGCTGCTGTCTATTTTTTTTTTTGCCAGGAATCTCGCCAGCCTCTCAATGTGGATGTACAAGTCTTCTAACAGTAATGCACAGTCCATGGGATCAGACATTTGTACTATCAAAAAAAGTGTGAAATGTACTTTACCTTTTTGCTGCTGTCTATTTTTGCCAGGAATCTCATCAGCCTGTCCACGTGTATGTAAGAGTCGTCGTCTGCGCGCATGAACCAGTCGTAGCGCTGCCCGTGGGTCCGACACACATGCTGCAGCATGCGGAAGGCCTTCGTCTGCGGCGGGTACACGTCGTCAGACACGCCCGGCAGCGACACCACGGGCAGGCGGTCATCTTCCCAGCTGCCACGCTGGGAGAAAAACTCCACCTGTAGAAAAAAGTATGAATTTTGTTTATTTTACTTGGCCAGTAAACAAAAGACGTCTTTTGAAGCATCAACCTGCTAAAAGGTATTTTACAACTTTTCAGCCATTAATTTTTGAAATTTACAATATTTCTGAAATATGTCAACCCAGAGACTAGATTGTAACTTAAAGGTTAAATGCACTCACACTGGATTGGACCTCGACTCTCTTTTTTGCTTAAGGTATGCTTCTCCCTAAGGTATGCTTCTCCCTCTGGCTTTATGTGCAATCCCTAACCGAATTTAGGTACTTATTTTTACCCGAGTCAAATTAAGAGGAATAGACTATCATGGAGTCATGGTTTCACATATTACATACAACGCATACCTGAGTGCTACCATCATCTCTTGAGATGGAAGGATGCCTACTTAGTTCTTTACCTTTGAGACTTGCCTGCCCCATGTGTTATTGCATGCCGTTGCCCGGGTGTGGAGAAATTTCCCAGCAGTCATCACCCCAACATACAGGGGCTGTCGTACTGTCAGCTCACCTGAGATCCCTGCAAGACATTTAATTGGATCATTTGTTTGTCAAAGTTTGGCCTTTCTCAAACACAGAAGATCCAGCTTTACGTCCAATCCAAGAAGAATTTTGGCCCAAACCAAAGCCAGGTACCCATTTTCACTTAAAAGTCAAGGAAACCGGTGTAAAGAGCCTTTCCCAAGGACACAATATTGTGGCAAATGCTTGGGATTTGAACCCTGAGCCTTTAGATTCTATGTCAATTCTATGTTACCAGGTGTGGTAACACCTGTTACCACAAGACCATCTTGCCACCTCTGAATGACCTTCTCATCACTCACCTGAGTCGGTGACATCTGCATTCTGCCCATCAATCCCAGCCAGGAGGGAGACGAGGTAAGTTGGGAAGGGGAGGAGGATGAAGATGGTGGACAGCGCGATGCCGACAATGGTGCCTGACAGGAAGGGCAGCAGGCACTTGTGACGGAGCACGCTGGACAGCCTGGGGCGTCGTCTGGGGCCTCGTACCCACGTGGATGCCTTCATCGCTCATGGCATCAGTCCTGCACCCTCACTGCAGACAAACCTGTTCACAAATAAATTTAGGATTTAGAAACCTTTTACATCTCTCATCTATCCATTAGTCTGATTGGTCATCCATTGGGGCACTTCAGATGATCTGACAACCAGTTTTCTCTACCCTTCTCGGTTCTCTGTTCCTCCTAACATTTCACTTAGTGTCATGTTGATCCATTCTCTCAGATATTATCCTCCCATTTTTTCTGTTGCCTGCCCTTCTTCCTTCCTAACTGTACTGTTCCCTGCATGATGGGTGTTACACATTCATAGCATACAAATAAAAGTCAATTGTAAGAAAATGCTCAATTTAAAAATTGATATTACTTTGATCATCATCATGACAACAGTTTAATGATGCATCATGACTTGAGAAATAAAGGATTTTCAGAGGAAGGCTCAGCTACCTTTTAGTAACTAAAGCTGTTTGTAGGTATGATATTCAAATAAAAGGCAATTGTAGACATACATTGTACAATGGATAGACATCTGTTGTTCCTAAAATGAAATAAAAATGATGATGATGATGGTACAGAGTACAGAGTTTTCAAGTAGGCTTAGCCTAAGCTACCTTTACGTGACAAATGGTAACAAGTTGTTTGGAAACAAGTTGTGGTGGACTGTTGTCATTACCCCCTCAGAAACACAAAGTGTCTCCAGCTTAGTTTTCATCTTCTATTGTCTCAGGTGTACGCTGTCATGTAAGGTCAGGGCAAAGGTTAGAGGTGAGTGAAACAGGGCACCACTTGAGCTTGGCGTTTAAATAAGCCTATTCACACCCTGAAAACAAGGTTAGAAAGAACAATTGGGCCGCTTAAGATAGTTACTTTTTAACTCAATGGTAACAGTTAATCATAGAGTGGTAAGGTTGTTCAGTTCAGCCTTGGGTATTCCAAAGATGATTAGCTGTTCTGCCACACGTGATACACTCCTTTTTCCACCATAGTTATGTAATTTGTTTTGTTCTCATGTTTTAGTAATTTAGTAAGCTTGCCAACAAAGGTTACAAAACAAGTTTTTAAACACAGAATGTGTGTTCAGCCACCGTTAATCAGATTATAACATCCAGTCTGTGACCATCATCTTAACTATGTTCAGCAGGACAAGTGAACCTCAAAAATGGACCTCAACGCTTCACTTGGCATCACCCATCTTTTCTGTTGCCATAAAATGTAACATGACTGTAATTTAACCAATTGCTATGCGACAGTTGACTGCTCAATTGGCAATTGTGGCAGCTTGGCCATGATAAATTATGCATGGTGGCACTGCATGTGGTTATCAATATAATATCCCTACCCCATATATCATCATGCCTGAAAGGTCAAGACAAAAATGTGTCTTTTTGCACAATCCCCAGGGTATATGGCGTGACAGGTAAATTGCATTTTAGTGTTCAACGACAATTGCCTCAAAGTTGTGAGCCATTCCACTATCTGGTACAAATTATTGATTAGATCTACTGTCACGTCTACGTCATATGCATACTGAACTGGGTTGAATTCAAGTCGTTCACCCGACAGCCTGGTTTAAACATGTAGGTTCTTGCCATAAGAAACACAACTATCCCTTTCAATCGGTCTTATATAATAATTATTTTGCTCCCAAACCAGAATTAGTGCCAATTTCGACATACATAGAATTGGGGGCAGTTCTATAAATTGTCGCTTACATGTATATATAGCCTCCTGCAGTTAATATATTTTTGGCCTATATATTGAATTCCCGTGTGTCACTAAAATATGTCGTGGTGGCCATGGAATGTGGTTATCTGTTGGACTTCTAACCTCAGGTGAACAGGTTAAACTTCGCATTGTCATATTGATCGATCACGTAAAAATACCCGCCTATCCACGCAAGGTACGAGTTGACCTCACACACAGATCAAACAGGTGTCATCGGATTGTAGATAACATCGTTTAACTGTCTTCTTTGGCAGAATCCAGAGTCTTATATGCTTTGTACAGAGTCTTATATGCTTTGTACCGTCAAAAAAAATCAAAGTAAGACGGTTGCATGGTTGAAAGGTGTCCCCCGAAGATCCGGCGGTATCTTGGCAACCATGGCACGTTCTGAAAGCGCACCGTCCGTTAGGTAAATTGTACGATATATGTGACCGGGGCTGAGTGGTTAAGCCCAGGTCACATACGTACATCCCACGATTCACCCAACATGTACAAGGGGTTTCCTCATGCCGTAGGTTGTAGATTTGAGAAGAAACAGGTGCAATCATGAGTTTGAAAATTGAACTGTAGATGTATTAGCACGTAAGAGTCAATAACTTTAATGAGGGTTTCATACCTTATACTTCATGGCCGTTCAAACAAAACTGACGGGAGCAATTTGTCAAAATAATCTGCCCTGCTTCGTTTGACCTGGCATTAAGGTAGTACAGAAGGGTGGCTGTGGCATATTTTCGAAATATTTGGGAATAAAAAGTTAATATAAAATTCTCTTTGACAAGGTAATCTTTTAGGTCTGTAATTTTCTGGACCGATGTCACATTTTGACCGCCAAAGTGAATGGTATAAAAAGTAATTTGTCATTTCACTAATGACCGACTTTTACAAAGACTTTGCACCTCCGGTTTCTGACAATTCATACCTCCGGTTTCTTTCAAACAACCGCATATTTCTGACGTCGTCCCATGAATGAATCATTCATAAACGGCACGGTCGGCTGTTTCTGACTGAAAGAACGTGTTAGTCCGGCCGACACAGTGTAAGTAAAGCGAGTCAGTCCCTGGCAAACACACGTATTTCATACATGACTTCATAATGGCGTTGTAAGGACCGCTTGCATGCAGTTCGTGGTATCCAGCACGTACGTTTTACAATCGTGTCCAAACAGAACTGTGACTCTACCTTCGAGAATGTATTGCTTGGTTAAGATTTCTTAAAAGACACCCCGATCTAACAATCTACGTGACCAAACCTACGCAAGAAAACACCGCTGTGATAGAATACAAACCTAACGCACACCTGCTAGAGACAGGAACGTTACAAGAAGAACTCACCGTGTTGTATTCGGCATAGCTGGAGAGGCCCCATGTCAGTCAGTCAGTCAGAGGATTCCCCGCATTTTCGCTGCGTGCTGCCGGTTGTTGGTGCCACACTAGTACTGTGTCCGCTGCGAATGAGCCACCAGCGCGGCGCTACCATCTCACGGACAGGTGCACCTGTAAGACCGGTCACAGGCTACAGCCCATTCCGTTCACTTGAACCAACACAAGCCGATGACCCGCAAATATCTCTCAAATACACCGCACGTATCACTCATAGACGGACCACACCAATGGTTTTGCGAGAGCGGTTTTCCTCTTTGAATATATATTTTCAAAAGCTGTTCACCCCCGTTTTGGTTGTCCTCTTGCCCCATTAGACATTTCTTTGTTGTGACAATTACGTGAAAATTCCGAGGTGAGGTGGGGGCCGTGTGTGCTCAGGTCCCGTTACGCAAACACGGTCGGGTTACCCCGTGAGCCATCTTTACCTGAGAACGGATCAATCCACAACTACCTGTTGGAATAGGCGAGACCAACTTTAGCCGGGGGAGGGGGTGGACAGGTATGAAAATCCGTATACCAACTCATTATATTACACTCTTTCCTTACAAATACCAGCTTCGTGTATACACCAGTGCGTAATTATGATTTCATAGAGGATAAAAGTGGCGCAAACCAGAGAAAGATGATATATTCGTGCGCTTTCACTCCCCTGGCGACCAAGAGTGGTAGCTCCTCCCGTTGCGCGCATGTCCTTGGCAGGCGACGGTCCGAGCAGGTAGAAACGTCGGATTACGTTGTGTGTTTTTTTACCTGGACGTCTTGGAGACAGTGGCCGGAATGACCGTTACGTTCTCACCTGTCCGGTGGGGTACATCAAAGGGAAGCCGGCGTCACAGGTAAGTCGTCAGGACAAGGTGTGTTCTCCTCCAGTTTACAATACAACGGACACTTCCATACTTGCTGTAGATTACTAGTACATGTATGTGTAGGGGTCACCAGCCTCATACGTTGTAAGATCGTCGTATATGATCGCAAACTGAAGGCTTTGCTGGGATAGTCGTGAATGTGTTCTGTAAATTTCAACTGTCTTGTTACTAGAGCTGTGTACCTAAACAAATTTTAGGTACAGGTACAGGTACAGGTACACAGGTTTAGGTACAGGTCCGGACCTGAACCTGTACCTGAACAATTCGACCAATTTATATGCTCTTCTGAACTCCTTCAATAACAAAAAAAAAACATAAATAAACTTGATAGTTAAGGTTTATTCTTTGTTTATGGCGAATGCTCAGATAAAATATAGGCTATATATATGTTTTTGTTTTCATGAACACACTGTCCTTACACAGGGACCCATTGTTAACCAGCTATTTACACATTTGAGGTCACAAATAGGCATAAAATTGGTGTAAAATTGTTTAGGTACAGTACCGGTACTGAGGGATTAGGTATTTTGGACCTGTACCTAATCAATTTTACCGGTACAGTATCGGTACTGCGTACCGGTACACAGCTCTACTTGTTACGGAACATGCTGTCTTATATCCTTGCCGGCCACTTCGTTCTGTCACAGCCTTCCTATGGCTTCAAAATCTCACAACCAATGCGACTGCACTGTGACCGTTAGTTTCATAGGAATGGTTCTATAGACGTTATACAAACATCATTGGAGTACAGCCTGTTGTGGGTTAACTTGGATCTGTTTGACAAACACGTACGTACCAGCTATGGGGGTTTAGCTTAATGCTAGTTAATGTCGGGATCTGGGATCTTAGCACAAGTTATTGATTTTTCTACGGTGAAATTTCGAGGTTACCTGTCGGTGTTTTCAGAAACGTGAGATGAAATATGCCGCCGCTACATGTTGTATTGTTATATGGATTATCGTTATTACCTAGAAGTGACCACCAAGTGCCCCAAATGTCCGCCAGGATCGATGTTAATAGCTCAGAGGTCTGACGTTTGACAGAATTACACACAATTAAATATTTAATGCCCCTATTCATATTATAGGACCCGGGTGCCAAAATTGGTAATATCAATAATAGGATTTCACTTTATTATTCCATCAGGCAAAAACAAATTCATATTTTGTCATGATGTAATAAATTGTCATGATATAATTTAAGTCTTTTCTACGGCAAAAGACGTTCGTCACCAAGGCCTAATGATCAGGTGTCGTTTATTTTGTTTATTCCAACAGGTAGCTGGGAAGCAGATTTAGAATAGAAGACAACAAAACGAGAAGACATGGTGGTCGGAAAGTTGACGTCTTTCCTGGTCGGCCTGTTGGTGGGCGTGACCATCTCTGTAACACTCCTCGTCATTGGTTCTCCACATCTTCTCTCCACCATCGCTCATTACAACAACAGTCTCAGAGAACCAAACAGCCAACCTACTGTCAACAACAACAACAACAAAGGCCCACCCGTCACACAGCCGAGAACTCTGGCAAAGGACTCGTTCTTAGAAGACCGGTCCTTGCAGAAAGACGCCACAGACGCGCCGCAGAACAGGTACCAGGGGGACGCTCCCATCCAAGTCAGCGACATCCCCAACTTCGTGTCCCAGGAGCTGAGCCTGAGGAGGACGGTGTTTGTGGGAGTCCTGACGTCGTGGAGCGGTCCGTCAAGCACTCAGCAGCTGAGCGTTATGAAGACGTGGGGAGGGGAGGTGGGGAAGGGGGCCATGGCGTTTTATGCAGGGATGGAGGAGAGCGTGGAAGAGGACGAGAGCGTACCTATTCAAAGGGTCACCGGTGAGTCTGAAATGATCCTAATTTAAGAGGTATTCAAGTCTACTTTTAAGTCGAACAGATGAACATTTTGTCTGTAAGAATTTCGACATATTAGATGTAGGCAATTGCACTGACATTTACTGATCTGGAGACTCCAATATTGAAATCGATCTACTGAGTGTGGGTGGATAGAGAAGTCTGACGTAAGTTTGATTTTAATGTTCCTGTTTGAAGGCATTACATGACGGACTGCCTTATCAATTGAACAGTTTACCTACCATTTTGAAGCTGAATTATATGTTATTTCCTACACCTTTAGGTGACACGCTGGGACAGAAGCTGTACGCCGCCTTGCGACACATGTGTTATGTGCACCTGGACAGGTTCAAGTTCTTCCTGCTGACCCTGGACAACACTTACGTCAGCGTGCACAACCTGACGTCACTGCTGAACGGGCTGCAGAGTTCAGAGGTTATCTACATGGGTAAGCTGAGTTCATGCACTGTGTGTGTGTCTGTGTGTGTGTGTGTTTTTGTGTGTGCCTGTATTTGTGTGAGTGTGCATGTGTGTGTGGTGTGTGTGCGTGTGTGTGTGTGTGTGTGCGCGCGCGTGTGTGTGTGTGTGTTGTGTGCACCTCAGTAACGATAACTAAAATCTTGTTCAATACACTATTTTGTATAAAAACTTGTCGTCATAACGCTTTTCGTCATAATTTCCCCCAGGCTCCAGCAAACGTGGTCCCCGTGACGGTAGCCCTGTGCAGTACTGTGAGCTCGGTTCCGGTGTTGTGTTGAGCAGGAAGGCGATGCAGGGACTGTGCACCCATGTGGCCAGCTGCGCGAAACTGCCGGCCGATCTGGACCCAGCCTACAGCCTGGCCCTGTGCCTTCAGAGGACCAGGGCCACCAACTGTACTACAAGTGGAGAGGTACGGGCTTTCTTGTGCAACACTAGGACGATTTTCTGGTCATTTCTTTACAACGTAAGTTGAATCAACCCCACTCCATTGCAAATAGGTGTCATTCAGGAAGTGGAGGTGAAAAAATATGACGTCTTACGAGTGTGTTTAAAAGCTGGAAACACAACTATCAGCTATGTTAGTTTGTGATGGGGCGGCGCAAAGTGAGTGTGCTTTATGTGGGCTGTAATTGTAAGATACGTTGTATATGGAATAGGCCTTTAATTCATGTGAACAAAAATAAGTATTTTGTCTGTTTAAATGTCTTCTCTTCAGTCCAAGACTTTATTCCACAAACTCGGGGTCTCGGAAGACCTGGATGGCGACCTGGACCAGAAGAAGTTTGTAGCGTCCTCCGTCACCCTCCACCCCGTGGGTCGGCTGGAGACGATGTTCAGACTCCACCAGAGCTACATCAGCAGGAGGATACAGGACAAGTTACAGTAAGTGTTTCTCTTGCAACTTGAAATTGTTAATGAAGACAATGCTTCAAATATATAGAATCTGTGCCCAGGGACAGGATTGCTTTTCAAAAATGTATTTATTCAGCTGCGGTTCGGTTTTAAAGGTGTTCATTGACACATGCTGCCCCCTGTGGGAAGTTGTGTGAACTGCAGAAATACCAACGGACATTCTATAGAGTCTATGCTATTCCCAGGTCCAAAAGAAAACGCAAGCCAATTAAAGCTTACTGTTTTGATATTTGATGTCATCGGTGATGATTCCGATATTTTATTTCCAGAAACCACAGAGACTTGGAGGACAGAGTTCACCACCTGAACAGGCTGATCGCTACAACAGGGCCCCACGGTGACGTCAGGCTGTTGCTAGGCGACCAGGAAAAGTCGGAGTCGTCTGATGTCGTCCCTTGGCAACTGATATATGAAGACAGCGAAGAAGATTTTGAGGACATTTTACAAAGTCTTGGCGATGTTGTACATCTTTCTGTGGAAGCCCTAAGGGTTGAATCTATGATAGAACCTAAACTGAAAGTTGTATTTCAGAGATACCATCCTGTTAAGGGGATAGAGTATAGATTAGAGTATGAGTCATCAGACGGCGGAGACTTGGCAGCGTCACACGTTGTGGACGTACAGAGGCCGCACGGAAATCTCTTTACTGTATCATCAACAGTAGGCCACAGGGAACGGGTAAACTTCATCGTGCCGGTGCTAGAAAACTCGCAACATCTCGAAGAGTTTTTGCAAATGTTCGAACGCTCTTGCCTGTCCGTCAGTGATGCGAGCGAAGTCGCCCTGATCCTGATCAATTTTGTTGGGACAAAGAAGGGCACCAGGCTACATCAGTTACTCTCTCCTTACGAGAAAAAGTACGCGGATTTCAGCTTCAGAGTGGTTGACGTAAAATCAGAAGCGTTTTCGTACGCACGGGGGATAGAGCTCGGTGTACAGGCGGTTTCGGACCCGAACTCTTTACTCTGTGGTTTAGACATGCACTCTACAATAAGTCCTGACTTCATCAACAAATGTAGACTCAACACCCAACAAGGGACCCAAGCCTACTTCCCCATTCCATATCAACAGTTTGACTTGTCTGCGACCAAAGCATCGTCTTTAGCAGAGGTGGACATCGCCCCCGGTTTGGGTTTCTGGTGGGAGAAAAACTATGACACTTTCTGTGTCTATAAATCCGACGTGCCAAAATTTGACGATCTTCAACAATCCAGTGGCAAAAATCTAAGTGTCATGTTGGCAGTACGAAAGTCTTTCAGGGTTTTCCGCTTGCCAGATCAAGGATTGTTGCTGCCGCATAGGGATCGTCACTGCAGTTCAAAATTCATGACTTTCGACGAAACCGACATCTGTTTACAAAAGCAAAAGGAAATCTTATCGATGCAGAGACACTTCAGCAATTTGACGGGGAGATGACATTGTAATATATGAATACACGGGTTGCATTTTTATTCGCATTTGATGCTATCATTAAATTGCGTTGACATGAAAAGAAGTCTGATGGTGTTTTTTTAAGAATAACTTATACCGATTTACCTTGAGCATATAAAAACTAGTTCATATTTGTAAGTAAATTCAGAAAAAATAGCAACAGGTACTTGGAATGTATCCATCTTTTATTATTACACGCAGTACAAGAAATACGTACATCTTTATATATACTGTTTTGTAACGATATAACGATTGTGTAGCCTTGAAAACGGGACCAAAATAGCAGTGTAGTTTTGTTTCAATAGCGCCATGAGGTATTATATTTCAAAAACCAAGTAGGTTCAAGTGGTTCCCCATTTAAACCTCCTTGCAAAAAAGAGGTATGTTTGTGACTATAAAGTTACATTTTTATCACCCAGTTCTTAAGCTTAATTAAACAAAAGTGCAGATTTGATCATATATCGTGTAATCTGCATATTTGGGTGTGTACTTTCATAGGTCCATGCGGACCAAGTCATGTGTACGTATAGATATATCTGATCCGTTACATATACACCAAGTAACTGTATGTTATATACCTGTACATAACGTTATAGAAGTGTACAAAATGCAGCGAAACGGTCTAATACGGTACATAAAAATGGTAATCAAAATGGTACAAGTAACTAGAGAGCGTTTAAATATGACGTCATAGAGATACCAACATGGCGGCAGCCGCTTAGATTTCATTGATCATCTAGTGATCTTTTCAAATAATTATAACGTCTTTTTAAGTGCGTATAACTCAACCAGTAGATCAATACCAGAAGATCTGTAAAAGCTTGCCGATAAAATACAAAAAAAAACGCGATGAATACGCTTGAGCTATGGTCCGTTGAACATGTTAACAGCAAATCAAGGACACCGAAATGGCGGCCAGAACCTGCCTGCTTCACCGATATAGAACATGAGTGAAACCGCCATGCTAATTAAACCTTAGCCCGGGTGCCATCCGTTTTGTATCGGGGTTCCTTGTACTCGCTACCATTCTCATAAAGACTAGTGTTTGACGTGGCAAGGTTATGGCAGTACGTACCCGCTATATACATTACTTACATATTATTTCAACATCTTCTGTTGACGTCTCGGTGCAGAGATTACTATACAACACCTCAACCTGGAACGTACCAGTTGTTAAACATTTGAGCGTTAGTAAACATTCTGTACAGCTATTTAGTATGGTAAGTGTTGATGAAATCTATCTGTCGTTTGAAGCTGCCTTGGTTTAAGGTAGATGTTGGTGGGTTTGGGTAGATATAAATGGCTATAAAATGTTGGGCTGATTTATACATCTTCGGTGGAATCTATATTTCATGTCTGAGTCTCTAAAATAGTGGAAATCTCAGGTTAAACAGTTGATCGACAAATTCTTGTACGCTTAACTCTTCGGCTATGTTTTTTTACATTTCATCAAAGGTTGCCAGTATTCAATTGTTTGATTTATATCGTCAAAATACAAATTATTACCTATGTGAGGTCGGAGTCTCCAACAAATAATATTTACAACAAAGGTTTCCGGAACCCGACAAATGCAGTTATTGTTGTTGCTGTTGTTGTTGCTCTTGTTGTCGTTCTTTTTTTTTATTTCAAGTCCGAGCTTGGCACGGTTTCCTCCTGAACTGTTCCATGATGCCGAACAGAGATTCCCGCCACGGCCGCACCCAGCTGTGCGGACCAATCACCAGCCTGGCCTCGCCGCGCTGCTGCATGACGCTGCGGGAACCCATGACGACATACTCCCGCCGCGGCACCAGCTTGGGACACGGGCACACCCCGTCCACCCACACGAACTCTCGCGAGATCAGCGGGAACGTGTTCTTGAAGGAGTAGAGGATCTTGACGTCATACCGGATGGAGTCGGCGTACGATCTGGATGACATCACCAAAAGACGGACCACTAGAAAGAGAAGGAAATATCGGAATCTCGGAATCAGCAATCAACTTATGGATCAAATAAGGGCACTGAATATCGTGGTTTCTTTGTTACAATGTCTTTGTACGACCGATTATAGTTGAGTTTATTGATGCACTTTGTAGAACTCTAACAGATGGCATTCAGCACCAAGGACAGAGCTAAGAAAGGGGTAGCAGCGTACGTTAAGGCATGTCATCACTTCCGGGTACGGAACTATTGTGTATTTTTGTCTGTGGGTTTGTGTTTATTCTTGTCCGGGTAAGAGCAAGTTGGCAGCTTATGAGTTGGAAAAGATTAACATATAGAATTATAGGAGGTCAAAGGTCTGGTCGGGAGACAGCAGGAAGTAGAGGTGGACATGGGGGGAATTTAGAGCCAAATAAAAGACTGTATACTTCTTGGAAGTCTTTCCGTTTGATACTTACCGAAATCACTTCTGCAGAAATTCTTGAACCGTCCCTTGATTTTTCTGCAGGCAAGGCAGCCGACACTGTCTGTAGGTGAAGGTTCAAGCAGAAGAAAAGTCAATGTTTATGAATGCACTTCTCAAATAAGACCTTCGAAGATTATCGTCAGATGTTAGTAGTGGCATATCCGTCCATATTAGGCTAACCCTAACTTTACGTAGTATTCTTGGCACCACTATGAAAGCGGCTTACCATACTTTGTCGGCTTTGGTGTGGGTCTGACCGCTACAGCCCCTGCTCCGGGCCCGTACACAGGAGGCGGTGGCACTGGCTCGGGCGGCGGGGGGATGACGTTGTCAGTCCGGCCAGGCGTCCCCGCTTCCCTCGCTGGGCTGATCTCGTTACTTGACTCCTCCTCTGTAGGTCGGTATCTCCTGTCGTATATAGTTTCTCCAGAGGAGGACGGCCTTCTGGCGGGAACGTGGCGACCGGACAGGGGCTGGTTTTCTGCCGACGACGACTCCTCCCGAGAGGACTGTCGGTTGATGTTCGGAATTGTTCGCGCCTTCGTGTAGCCGATGACTGCCGACCTATCAGGAGCCGGCACGTTTGGTCTCCCGGCGTTTTGATTGACCGAGCCACCATGAGAGGACGTCGATGGTCTACTATGTACATTGCTATGTCCATGCTGCTGTGAGGGGTGCTCCCTAGAAATTTCTCTCGATGGAGTCACATTGACTCTTTGGTGGTGATGCCTGGTCCCCGTGGTTCTTGAAGAAGTTTGAGAATTACTTTTAGAGCCACTGTCCACTCTCGTCACGCTGGGGGTCCGCGGATAGGAGGGTCTTCCTGGGAAATATCGGTTCGTCTCAACAGATCCACGCGATCCTCCAGAAATTATCCCGGTATGCACTCCTCTGCCGGGAACTTGGAAACTGTTTGTCCCCCCAGAACTGTGGCGATTTCCTCTGAATCCGAACCTGTTTCCATTATTCGAGTTCGATCCGAACCTGTTTCCATTGTTCAAGCTCGATCCGAACCGGTTTCCACTGTTCGAATTCGATCCGAACCTGTTTCCATTGTTCGAGTTCGACCCGAACCTGTTTCCATTATTCGAGTTCGATCCGAACCGGTTTCCATTGTTCGAGTTCGACCCGAACCTGTTTCCATTATTCGAGTTCGACACTGAGCTGCTTCCCGTGGTTCTCCGCACCCAGTAGCCGTCTCTGTTGCGGTTCGACCCGCCGGTGTTAGGAGCTGGCACCCACACCCAGTACCCGGTGTTCCCCCTGCCTGGCCGGAACGGTCTAGCCGTCCTTGGTGCTGACGTAGTGGTTGTTGTGGTGGTTGTGGGGGCAGGGGTAGTGGTGGGGGGAAGGGGAGGGAAATGTTGGCGAGGGTACGCCACCTCCACATGTCCGCCCCCGCCGATGTACGTCTGCCCGTGCTGGCGGATCATGGAGTTGTATTTGTCCAGGGGTAGCCAAAACTCGTAGTGGATCCCTGGGTTGGTCTCGCGGAATAGAACCTGTGTCGGGGGGAAACTTAAATTTAGAAAATCTTGAACATCTTTGCAAAATATTTTGTGATTTTCTCCAATATTCAACCACCCTATCAGTCTGCACTTACAGTATTTCAATTGCGGTAACAAAGTATTGGCCAACGTTAAACGTTACTGGTAGATATCTTTCTACCACCAAGTGAGCACGTGAGTGCCTAATGATTCGCACGGGATTACCTCATGAATCGCACGTGATCAGACTCAGACACGTACCATGAGATGCAGGTCCTCCGGGATTGGACCAACCGAGTTGATGACCTCGTTTTCGGCCTGTCGCTCGTATCGTATCGGCATGCCCCTGACGTCATAGACTCCTGGCCAATCAATGATCCAGTTGCCGTTGATGACGTATGACGTTTCGTCCTGCCGCATCAGAGCTGCAAACCAATCAGCGCACGTTTTGGGGGATTTCAAATAAAACAAAAACAGTTGGAGACCAGCACATACAAACTTTAAACGTAGCTCAAGATTGAATTCTAGGGTACAGTTTAAAACCCTATCATATTTGATACTTAACAGCATTCTGATACAAATGTATGGCGATAACTTAAATGCAGGGCATAGCCAGTGCACGATATTCTGACTTTTACTTATGACTGCTCAGATTTACCTAGATAGTTTCTACTCGTGTCTTCCACTTTGAGGTGCATGGCTCCGGCTGGGATCATGGCCACCTCGTTGTAACCAAAAGATCCTGGAAAGGAAAAAAAGAACACATTATAATCATAAGCCTGGATGGAGAAAGGAAATTATATAATTTTCTGGTCATATTTTGAACAGCAAAACTATATGCACTTATGCACCATATGCACTTATTCCTCAGTCCCCTGAATCTTTAGCGATGTACATCCACATGAAATTTGTCAGCAAAGATAACACTTACAATATTCATAGTACTGGTCTTGCCATAATAGGACACTGAGACATTGAAGATTACTGCCTTACCGCTGGATGGGAATGACGTCATGTAGGCCTTCCTGACGTTGACACACGTGGCGTTGTTCCCGCCACACACCCGGCAGGCGTCCTCCTCCCGCTCCGAGCCCAGGATACCGTCACATCCCACTTTCTGTAACAACAGGGAACGGCATGTAAAAAAAGTCCCAATTATTGTCAGACTGAGAGCTGTTTGCTAGTGCAATGAAGGCTGAGATGGCTGGTTTCCATACAAAATATTCCAGAGATGTCCAGAGAATCCTAAGCTCCCACTGAAGCTCCCGCTTGTAGTTCTGAGAGAATAGGAATGGTTCTCCCGAGTGAAAGGGTGTCTGCTACAGCACTCAGTTACCATAGTGACAGGTACCTGGTCCTGGTCATTGACCTTACATGTTTAAAAAAGAAGAAACAGAGCAAAAACAATGTTTTCTTTCGGCAAAGGTAAACATAAAACTCAATGGAGAGCTCACCAGGCATTTCCCTGCAATGCACATGTTCTTCTTCTGCGGATCGGCGTAGCACCTCGTCCCGTCCAGCACCTTCCCGAAGCCGAAGTAGAAGTTGTACCTGGTCGCCATGCAGTTCAGTTCGCATGGGTTTCCGCCTGGAACTGAAAGGTGGCGCTTTTGTAAGGCAAGACCACTGTGAAAGGTTTTTTTGTTACGCAACCTTTCCAAAACTGCCGTTTTGTTTTCGATGCGTTTGTGTGCTTGTGTGTCCGTAGTTATGAGTAATTGACAGTCATATAGTCTGGTGTTGCTTTTGAAGTCTACGGTAATATCGGAATCCTTACTGCAACACCAAGATACCCTAGGAGACCACAAGCAGATGTCAGGTGGTTGTCCGAGGAACTCGTTTGTATTAGCGTTATATAATATAGGACCTTCCATGCTGCCGCTATGCCGAGATGGAAGCTTGCTGCCCAATGTGCCTGTAGGCACAGGAGGACCTTAGTTCTAAGGTCTTTCTCAAAGGCACAAGAACATTCTGCCTGGAGCCCAGACTCACCGTAATGCGGCTCCCATCTGTAGATGAGCCGCCCCAGGAAGCGTCTGTTGTTGTGCAGGGAACACTGCATCGCGCGGTAGTCCACGGCGCCTGGGCCGCAATCCTGGAACAGGTAATATGGTATAAAGTTAAAAGTTCCTTCCCGCACCATTAATGGTGCATGTATCGGTGCTCATCTCCGTTTCTGTAGCCACACAGTTGCAAACCAACCGCTGCAGAGGGCTAGTCCACTAGTAGTGGTGTGTGCTTAACTTTAATTTCCCAGATGCTGAGGCTAACTCGGCCGGGGATCGAACTCATGACCTACCAAATGCAATGCTGCGAGCACACTTACCCACTTGGAAATCGCACCGGTCGTGACTATATAGTATCCGTAAATAATTTCATCAGGTTGGTGATTGATTGAATAGCGAAGTTCTTTATTTACAACCGCTTGTTTAACAAGAGCCGACGTTTCGTTGATCGTCTGTCATCTTCATCACGGTTATTATGGCTGGTTCATTGTGAACCGTGAACTAGGAACACCTAGCGTCAGTGCACAGTGAACCAATCATACTTGCCCTGATGAAGATGACAGACAGTCATGAAAACGTCGGCTCTTGTGAAACAAGTCGTGGTGAACAAAGGACTTCGCGTTTCAGTTACCATGGCAACTCAATTCACCCGTGATCCTCTCTGTTCGCAATGTCTGTGAAGTTCTGGCGTTCAGCTGACCCCGTGTTCAACGTTCTTTTGGAAGAGTGTTTGACTTTTGGACCCTTTTGTTTGCAGGAATTCGTCAACGTCCTAAGCTTTCGAAGCAACAGTAACTTTAACTACGAACAACTTGCAATCTAATCAAGGAGGTCCTTGGTGTATGTAATGTCGCGTTGTTTCACAGGCCTAGACTTTGTCGCCTTGCCCTGTCACCATGATATTTATAGTGATTTTACATACCTAGTACCTAAAACAGACTACCCTTGTTGAGAGAAATAATATTATGTAGTACTCTCGACTTCATACTTTATTTGTAATTGCAGCTTTTTATAACGAGTACGCGTTGAGTCTTAAGTTAATTGTAAGTTGAAGTGTAAGATGCCTCACCCTGCTGTTGCAGACTCTGTATTCTCTTCCCTCTCCTTCACATGGCGATGCTTCAGAACCAGGTCTAGAAGATATCATAAAACAGCCTTGGTGAGGACGTCTTTTTAAGTTAAGTAACATTAACAAGTAACACCAAGTAAATGATTAATTGCCTAGATGTATAGATCCGTACATGTAGTGCAGGTTTTGCGATCGTGTAACGATGGCAAAAGTGTCATGTTTTCCCCTAAAAGCAATGGTCACGTACCTGCTGACACATTTGCGCGTGCGCACCGAGGCGCCTCCCCCACAGGTGCGTGAACATGAGGACCAGCCCGTCCACTGTGTCCAGACGCTGCCCCCCTCCCCCTGCACCCGGGCACTGCCCCCCTCCCCCTGCACCCGGGCACTGCCCCCCTCCCCCTGCACCCGGGCCGGCTGAGCAGCGCCGTACTCGGGACGCGGGCGGTAGAATCTCTGTGGGGAAACAACAAACAATAAAGAATTTAATAAAGATACAGTAATGATCTGTTCATGAAAAACAAGCGTAGGAAATCGACAATACGTCGATGAAGGTTAGGCATCCAGGAAATAAGGTATCAAATTTAAAAGTTAACAGTACTGAGTAATCATTACTCATTACGACAAGCAACTGGATGGACTTTGAAACCTGTCAGACGTTTCAGGTAGCATCCACTACCTTTCGTCAGTGGCTGATAGAGATTCTGCCAGATTCTGACACCTTTGACCTCCTTTAATTCTTCTGGGCCCCTCCCTTCGTGCTTTCAACCTACTATGTACGTGTCCGGACAAACAGACACAAAACCCACATCTCAGGTACCCAAAGCAATACTTCCGTGCTCGGGAGCGAAAAACAACGCTACACGCAATGCCACACCATTTATCAAAAGGACTGCTTTACTGGACATGCGGTACCGAAAACGTTTTATTTCTGACCATGAACCACCACTACTTGGGAGGTTTCATGGAAAAGACTGTATACAGTATAACCATGTTACGTTATAATACCCATGTTTGCGTGTTTGTGGCGTCGTTACATGCTTTCCGCAAGAGTTTATGTGGAACATAAAATCGATACATGGAAATAAACGACTTAAACGAAGTACAAGTTATGGGCCCCCTAGTGACTTTTTATCTTCTGGACATGGGTATCTCATATACTGGACATGTTATGGTCATGATTTGTAGGTGGCATATAGCTCTTATTACATAAAAGGTAGTCTCCACCAGAACAACGCGGGTTCACAAGCAGTAAAATTTAGACAAATAGGGAGAATAATTGGCCACCGTGGATTTCATCTGCCTACGCAGTTCGAAGGTGGAAAATTAACCTTCCCGCGGACTGACTCTCCTGGCCAATTATTTCCAATTTTTACCGAATTCTACAATTTGTATCCCCGTAGGAAGCCCTTGTGGAGGCTACTTGAATGAAAGGCCCGAAAGTCTCCTGTGTTCGAACTCCTTGAGCCGAAGTCACGTGACACGCCGTGGCAGCAGGTGGAAGATACCGCCGCCATGACAGCTGACGTGAGGAGGGGGGAGGGGGGAGGTGTCCCTTGCTGCATTCCACGGGTAGAAAGTGACCTCTGGCGACATGGGAAAGGTCACGGCGGGAAGACCGTGTAATGTGTTGGCACAGGGTAGGATATCCAGCTGCGCAGTTTGTGTTTTAAAATACAGTCAAAAACTGTTTAGTGTGGTCACTCAAGGGAATGAGCAAGTTTGACCACTGTGGACAGTTGACCACTATGTCACCTGTCCATTTGATCACTGGCATTTAATGACACAGGCGTTTATTTCTCAATGAGCTATCTTTATTCACTGGTGTCTGTAAAAAAGATAAAATAGCTATATCTACATTTTAAGTTTACATTTCCTCTTCAGTGATTGTTCTCTTACTGTTGTGCTAACTCCGGACATCAAGTCCGCTTTAATGTTTGTTTTACTTATTTCTTTTAAACCTTATCGGTTTTCCTTTCCCGTTTGGGATCCCTGTACAACGATTTTTACTGCTCCCAATTTACTGTATGGCTTATTTCATAGAAAACGATATGGCCAAAGAAAACACTTGTGCTGTATGTATGTATGTTGTCCTTACTGAGAACACTGTCATCTCTGTACCTGCAAGGTCGCAACTATTTGCCTAAGTACACGGACGCCGGGTAAGATTGTTGTCGGTATGCAAGTTTTCATGCACGAATCCGAAAGTGTTATCCCCGTTGACAGAGACAGAAAGGCTCGCAGACACCGTGACAGCACGGTTGGCGAAGCGGAAAGGGGTCGCCTAGTGGCGCTGTAAAGACGAAGCTACTGTTGACACTAGCCTCCTCTAACAGGCTTTGGAAGCGGCTGGAAAGAGTAGAAATTTCCCTAATAGACAGATACTGGCATGCCAAAAGAGTTGGTCCGCTAAAGGAGTACATTTGGAGGCAGCAAATGACCAACTCCCCTGCAGTAGGGGCAAGATATTGGACATTGAAGCACATGGGGCATTAAAAAAACTTACTATATCAATGGAGATATTTCACTGTTTTCAAAATAGACCATCTGCCAGGTTTTTAAATGCCTCTTGTTGCACTATGCCTATGTCCAATAACTCCAATTCTTTGTCACCATATATACTTCTCTTGCTTGTTATCTGTCTATTTGGCCAATTTCTACTCTTTCCATCCGCCAAGTTCCGAAGCCTGAGTAGAGGCTATGTTGACACTACTTTCGTCACACTTTGCACACGTGTAAACGTTGCAAACAGGTGTGAAACGCTGTCTGGACTGACCGACCTTGTCCTGACAGACCTTCGCGTGCTCGTCTCAAAACAAATTCCGAGTAATTGGTCGGAATTCGGCCGAGTCCTTAATATCAGTTGGACGTAACAAGCAAACGTAGCTTACAGCGGACGAGAAGGGGAGGGACTATTGCTAATCTCCAAGCAGATCTTTGGTTGCTGCAAGACAGTATCAAATTGGCAAAGCAGTATCATTGCAATTGGTAGCCCGATATAAACGCCTAACAAAACGCCAAAAATAAGCCTCAAGACTCAACCTCTGCTTCCAACAGTAAGAATGTCTGCCACTTTCGACGTCAGAAAATGATCAGCCAGATGCTACAATACAAACTTCAACGTTTACACGACTGAAAGATACATTCTTCTTGCTCGGAAATTCATCCAAACAAAAACATGTTGATACTAGGACGGTGAGTCATATTTGTACCTACAGTTTGTTACATTGTTAGCGTGATCACTCTTATTGAGTTGAACATTGACTTGTCATCACTTCTTGCCTATTTTGTGTACCTGTTTAAAGACTCCTGATGCTGGTATCACGTTCACTCTGTACAGTCAGGCACACGATGCCGCCCGATTCAGTTTCCTCAAGTTTAAGCCCAAGGTCAAGTAAAGGAGCTCCTCAGAGGGCATCTGTTTTAAGTGTCTCCTGGAGGTGTGTCAATGAGGTCATGTTGGGGTATTAATTACCGCACGCATCAAAGGCGGCGGGTACGGCATAATTAGTCCCCACAGTCGGGCTCCCCGGGTCAGGGAACAACATCAGACCGAACCTCTGTTCACCTCCCTGTCCCGGCAAACCCCGGCGGCCGGGGCGCGGAGGAACCGACCGGCGGCCTGGAAGGAAACGGAACACCCGGGAGGCGTGAACTTGACCTTACGTAACCCCGCCGGCCGCGTGAGAAGGGCCACGGGGCTTACACGAGTGTCTTGTGTCTCACTAGTAATTCCAATAGACGTGAGAAAATAGAGATTTTATTAGCCAACACGGTAAGCAGGGTGAAATGTTATATATTGGTGCATACCAGGGGTGTATCACAAGGGAAACTTGACAAACAGTAGGAAATTGAACCGTTACCAGCAGGTGGAAGGTCTGTTGCTGTTGTTGTAGCTTCGCTTCCTGAGATGCCACCTTTTCTCAGAACACCGTAACTTATACATACATGACTCACCATGTTCAGTCGTTCCCGCTTTCTGAGAAATGAAGGAAGGCCTAAAGCCTGTGTACCGGGTACAGGCAGGGTTTTGTGGGATAGAGTAAGTCAGCAGGCCAAGGATAGCATGCAGCATGTAACCGCAGTTTGACAGCGGATACAAGATGAAAGTCAGACATCTAACCGTAACCAATACAGGAGTCAGCTAGTGTAAGTGAATGTGTGTGTTTGTGTGTGTGTTTGTTTGTGTGTGTGTTTGTGTTTGTGTGTGTGTGTGTGTGTGCGTGTGTGTGTGTGTGTGTGTGTGTGTATATGCGTGCGTGCGTGCGTGCAGAGAACATGAAGTGTGGTGTGCATGTAGTGCTTGTAATGTTTTTGCACCCAGGCCACTGGCCTGTATCTAGATCTGTGCCAGTAGCCAAACGACAGTTACGAGCAATACGATTCTGCAAGTAGTAATTGCTCTGATTACCAGCAGGAAGGTTTAAACCTCCTTGTTAGTAACATTGACAGTAAAGAGTGCAGTCCATCACAGCTCCTAACAGTACCACATCAGCAACAGTCTGTAACATACCAGACGCGGCCCATGCCCAGTTGGAGTTCCTCAAACCGTATCTCACGCCGGTAGCCCTGTCAGCGTGACGTCGACACTGAACTTGGCACGACATGACATGCGTCTCGTCTGTCGGCACCTCTTCAGCGCGGGTCCTGCACAGAACAGCGGGGTCGGGCCGAAACAATCGCGGCTGTGTCTGGTCTGTGTCCGAGTTAAAAAGTCTGAGGGAAAATATACGCGCGCGCTTTTGAAGATGTTGACAGGGAGAAGCTGAATTTATGTGGACGCGGAATCAACCGACCATACAGTAAAGGAAGCACAGCGATAAGCGTGGCTAATGATTAGCCTTCACAGTCTCCGGCACGATTAGCAGACTCCGACAAAAACCGCCGTCTCTTAGCAGTTTATTAGTCTCCAAGCAGAGGTTTAGGTTTCGGCTTATTTTTGACGTGTTTTAGGTGCTTCTATCGGGTTTGCTTTTTATACTGGTATCTTTTATTTATGGCAACTGCCTGAAAAATGGATACTGCCAAGCCAATACTGTCTTGCGGCCACCAAAAGCTCTGTTTATTGCTTTTAAAGTCCCTCAGTCAGACTCCAGTGGGTTGCTGAAGAAATAGAAAAAATCGGCAAATAGTGTGTTCCTCTAGCAGGCTAACTCCTCTGGCATATCATTTAGTCTATTTGGCAAATGTCTGTACTGTTTTTCCAGCAACCCACTGGAGTCTGGTTGAGCTAGCAGATTTTCATCCTGGCCGGCCGGTAAGTTTTTTGGTCTGGTTTAGTTTGCTTGGCGAAATTCTTTCCAGATTTTGAATGTTATTCAACGACACGCTAGTTTGTCGGCATTGTAAATGTGTCTGTCACTAGAGCGGCAAATAACGCCAACCCCCACCCACTAGGACTGCGTACAGTGGATAGACGTAAGGAGGTATACAAGCATAACCTCCGCCAGGCCTTC